ATTCTAATTAATTACGAATATCAGATAATGTAATTAAAGATGCATTATGTAAGAGCTAAACCTTCCTATTGCAGGTCTTTGTTATTATTTAGACATTTTTTAACACGAGAAGTCCATCATCGACTCTCTAGAGCATCGGATGACCGAAATTTAAATGGACTTAAACATCGGCGATATTTAAATATAACGTTAAAATGGCCAATCGAGTCTTGGTTGGCACCTTTGCTTTAATAATGAACTATTTTTCAATATATTTATTCATTATATTGGATATTCCAGAAAGATAAGAATGGTAATTCGATATTTGATAAAATTAGATCTTTATTTGGTTCTAGTTTTAAATTTTATTGTTCAACACTATATACAACACGCATATCTAATTAATTTCTTAGCAATTGTCTGTTCCGTTTGAATCCTATTTAAGCCATGTGGTGATCGAACGCAAACTTCTTAAAGATGTGTTTCACAAACTAGTTAGATCAGTTGTTACATCCTCAAAAATGATTTTAAATGAATAAAAGAGTGTTTATCATGTCTCGAAAAAATAAAATTATAGACAAACAGTTCCGTGGTTAGTAGGCTCAAAATAAATGCTATCCTGCCAACCCGTAAAGGGAAAATAATACTCTTGCTGGCTTGACAGCTCCAGAAAATAAAAAATAGCCTTATTCTAAGTACTAGATGTGTTAGTGTCCTACCTGTTGTGTAATTTATCCATTAAATGCTATTTTACTTGTCCAGAGGGTTCAAAAATATTTTTAAACCCAAGTCACATTTGAAAAGCTTTACGTCAGGCTTTTCAAATCATTTAGTTGAATGTTTCCAATTTTTTAAATTAGGTGTGTTAAGATGAAATTTGTATCATCAATTATTTGGAATATTGTAAAATAGGACCAGAATAAAGATTGGGACATATTATTCAGTTACAACAAGAGTGGTATTGAGCCTTTAAGAGTTGGCAGTATAGTGATATAGGTAGATACCGCATTAGAGTTTAGAGTTGAGAATATAGTGATATAGAGGGTTGATGTAATCGCCAACAATAGAGTTGACAACATAGTGGTATAGATGGTTGAGATAATCGTCAACCATAGAGTCGTCAAGCATAGAGTTGACAATATAGTGATATGGATGGGGAATGGGATCGTCAACCATAGAGTTGACAATATAGTGATATAGGCAGGGAAGGTAATCATTGATGGTCAATCATTAGAGACGACAACATTGTGACATAGGTAGGAAGGAAGATTATCGGATGGTCACCCAATAGAGTTGACAATATAGTGATATAGATGGTGGAGAGGATGGCCAAGGAATGCATCTTTTAATATTAGCAACTTGAGAAGTGTCGATGAAAAATTCAGATTTTAGATTTGGAACCCAAAATTTATTACTAGAATAGTAATATTCTTCCTGGTAACTTGAATATATTTTAAAATACTGCTAGACAACAAAAAAGAACCAAAACAAAAAATACAGCCATACTTTAATGCTACTTCCCTGTAGATATTTTTTTTTATATTCCCATCCATAGTAAGAGTTACACATTCTGAGACTTTGTTTTAAGACTAATGTAATTTGTGAAGTTTAAAATCTTGATAGATTAACCTGTATTTAACAAGAAACAAAAGATTATAAATTTACAGTCACCCCCAACTTGTTAATGTCACACAAGATCAGGAAATGTTAACAGGAGTCATTGCCATAGGATGAATTAAGCCGGTGACGTCTCTGTGGTTAATATTCATTAGATGTATCAATCTAAAAATCAGAATTGGTTAGAAATAACTATAATTGTTACGGAAAGCACCTCTGTCTGTTTGTGCTTCAAAACCAAAATAAATGGCGTGCTCGTTTCAGTATAAGCTTAGTCTGTCACAAATACTTGATTCCACACGGTTAATATTTTTTTAGTCTCTGTGTGTGACATACAAATCTCTAACAATTTAATATAAACTACGTAATCTCCTCGAAGACCTATCCGTATGTGGCAAAAACGATTCCTGTTTGCGACAGACTGACAAAGAATGTGTAGTACTACGGATGGGAAGTAACACGGACTAGGGTCGCCAGTCCAACCTCGTAGGGAGCCGGTGTCTTCCCATATCTAAAGACAGCAAGCGAATTATTGAAATACAGTTAATGTATACCATTTAGTAGACGTTACAGAGTGGACGTTAAACAATATTTCTCTTCCGTTTCTTTAGTTTCCGCAATGCAGAAATAATAAATCGATAACATGGCTTACTAAAGAAACATTATAAGACACGTATCTCTAATTAGCATTGCCCGTTGCTATCATAATAAATATTTATTTTAGCTTTTATCGTATATGTATCGGATTGTGATAAAATGTTCGTAAACACCTTTTCAAACAGAAATCTACCGATTCTATATTTAAAAACCCAATACTAAAGAAAAAGACCTATTTACTTTCTTGATAACAGATTTGGGTAGAAAGAAAAGATAATATTGTCTTGTACAGCCGTTTAAGACAAATGTCAATAATAAGGCTAGACGAATGTATATCTATGTATTTATGTGTACCTGGGTAAATTGATTGATGTACATGGACGCTTACAGCTGGCCCCCGGATCCATTCACTTGATTTGATATTTCTTGTTTATTTCTTGTAATGTCAATGTTATGTAGTTTGTCTTGTCCGCAGGTTGGTCTTGTCGGTTTTGTTTTGAGTGTAGTGTGATCCTCCTGCACTTACTATTAGTGCTTTCGAAATGTTTTAATAGCTAACATAAACTATACATAAAAGGATGTTTTGTTCTGAAGATGGGAAACATACATATACATTTAATAGTATATGTTCGTATCTCATACGAGATAGAGAGAGATAGAAATGGGGTTTAACGTCTACTCGACACAGATTAGGTCATTTCGGGACTAACACATGGTTTAATTTTATTTCAATAATTCGCTTGAGCGTAGGGGTTTTTAGCAGTGGGAGGAAACCGGAGGACCCGGATAAAAGCCACGAGGTTGGACAGGCAATCCTACTCCTTGTCACGTACAACCGGGGATTCGAAACCACGCCAGTTGACTCAATGACAGGCCTCGTGATACAGTGCGCGCTTGCTAACCATTCGGCCATCCAACCCCCCTATCTCACGAAGTCATGAGTAAATGATTGTTTGAGTTTTGGTGGTAGCACTAGAAGATTTTCGCCGTCCGGAACAACATTCCTTTTCTATTTGTTATAGTGATTTGAAGATAACGTTATATTAGGGGTATGAAAATTAGAGGGCATACGTACGTGCAATATACAGATATGCAATCCTTGGTATCACAGCGTTTAGTAGTCTTTAACAGTTAATGATCCGAAACCAGCTACAACCGAAAATCGCAAGAATTCATATAGAAACATGTCTGTGTGATCCTTGGTTATCATTGGATTTTAAGAATCGGTTTATGAATCTAGTGAGTTGGAGGTGGGTACAATCTGGTTAAAACACAGTTCAAAACTTGTCTTTACTACACTAGGATCTGGAAGTGTTGTAATATAACCCGCGTTCTGGATGATGTGACAGATTAGCCAATGAAACTATCTGTTGCGGCGAGATTTTGAAGTGAGGTGCACGAAACTGTGGTTAACCCACTAGAAACATCAACGCTGTTGGGTTAATCAAATGTCAGTCTTCATAGGGTCAAAAGCCGCTCGTATGACCTCTGGCGCGGCCTTCCAATGCAACCAGTCGGATCGTCATGTGTTGTGTAGGTCATCGAAAGTATAAAACACGAAACGAAATATAGATCAGATTGGGTTGAGTATTTTTGTGTGGCCATGCTTTGATCAAAGTGGAGTTATTCTTCATTTCTAGGTAGTCTAGTCTAGGTTAATTTCATAATGTCATATTATAATTATGAGAAATAAAATACATTTATTTTCTTGTAATGAAAGTAATAGTACCTCTTAAACTGTATCAGTTTCGTAAACAAGAGTCCCAACAAATACGATAATTTGTTTTAGGAACAAATGAAACCTTACAATGTAAACTTAATCTACAATTACTATTGTTTCCCAATGGCGGAGAGACGAAGTGGTCTAAGACGTATGCTTTAGACTATAGGCGCTGTCAGTTAGTCAAATGGCCTAGTTACGGTCACGAACGTGATAAAGAGTAGCTCGTGGGTTTTCTTCGAGTCTTCCTGTGTTCTCCCATTGTTTAAGACGCAAGTGAACTTTGAAATAAAATTGTCGCAAATGTTAGTCCCGGAATAACCTAAGACGTTAAAGCCTAATTCTCCAAATCTCTCTCATGGCGAACAAATGGAAGTTATAACTTTCATTTTTTTTAAAAAAATAACCTGCAGAAAGAAAAGTAGAACGTTAAATCCCATTTCATTTCATTTTATTTTATTTCATTTCGTTTCAGAAAATGAACCAATTATGACCGAATTTGAAATCTATACCAGCCCGTATACATTCATGTAGCTACTAGCTCTGTATGATTGTTTGCTTATTATTATGTGGTTTCCTTGTGTTTGTCTCAGTAGTTTTCTTATTTACTGATCAGTTCTTTGGTTTGTACCATTGTTTCTTATCCACTATTATGTTAAACCCATGTATCTGTATCCCTTAAAACGAAATTCGCTCTATTCCCGTCTACCGAGAATAAGCTTATTAATATAATTGAGACCAACCACAACATCTTTCTTTCTACTAAACATACGTATCATATAAAGTTTTAATCCTATACGTTATAAGCTTTATCTAAGATAATACCATCATCAAAAACCCTTTTCATCAGACGATTAGAATTTCTTCCGCTGTCATTAAGTGTTATAGGCTTTTTTTTTAGTTTAATTTCTTCAAGATCTGCTTTTATTAAGATTAGTATGTAACTCAAAAAGAGGCGATTACCGCGTTACTTTGGCTTATTTATAGTGTTAATTGGTACACATAACTTGCACAGAACTTTACTCAAGAACATAAGAACGGCAGTCGATGCGCATGTTGCTTGAATATAAGAGGGAGACATGTTTACTTTCGGCCATTTCTTAAACTGTTGTCGACCTGGAAAGACGGTGATCGCGGATATGACGTATAATCTTCCAGGATATATGTGAATTGTTTTACATCCTTGGTGAACTAAGCGGATCAAATCGGGTTTAATTAAATAAGGTTAGTAGAATAATTCTAGCTGATTTATTATTATATTTGCAAAAAACATATTTTTCCCTTTGTCCATAAATGTAAATCATTAATTTAATTTTGAAAGTCCCGAGTTTTGAAACTTTTAAGAATAAGTATATATCTTACAAATTTGTAAAATTGCCTGTACCAAAAACCTTTACATTGGATTTGTGGTGAGGTTCAACATATTTTCCTTTTCATGGGATGTCTTTTTACAAAAAAGCGTCAAGTCGTTTGCATGTGTTTCTTTTGTTTCGAGTTTTCACTCTTTGCGGTTTTTTCTTGTTGTATTTTTCAAATGGAATTTTAGTTTGGTGATGAAATTGTCTCTTTAGAAAAAACGATAACCTTTGGACCCCAAATCAATGGAACTTTATTAGAGAATCATAAATTCCTCAAACAAATGAACATTTGTCTTACTCTTCATAAATTATACACTTTCGGTTATATTAATACTTATAAGCCACTCCACCAAATATTATGAATCCTTAATTTGAATCCTTACAATATACAGTATGTTACTCCGCCACATGAATATCCTGGTCACTCTGGCAGTTCGTATTGATTGTTATTTAACTTATTGAAAATGTGTTTAAGTGTACTAATTTTAAATGTAAAATGTTATTTATCTTTCTGAGAATTTGTCTAAATTTACTAATTTTAAATAGTATAAGGTCTGCAAATATCTCTCTTCCGATTGCAATACACATACCTCGAAGAGATCTCATGGCTTTGCATCCAAAGCTCGCAATATTTGTATGGTGGTTATTAGCTTGTTCAAGCAGCCGAAAATAGGCAGGTGCTAATTTATCTTATTTATCAATACATGTCCATATAGGGCCCATGTCGTAAAAAAGTCGGAAGTAATGTTTACTGACCAAACAATCAAACATTCGGTTGTCAATGCGCATTTTTTGGCTGCTGCCCTCTTTTGTTTAAACAAACGTCCTCCTTAAAGTATTCATTATCGTGTTTGGAATAACTTAAATTGTACACTGTAAATGATTTATTGGCATATTATGTTTTAAATGTTTTAAATGCAACTCTTGAATAATTCAAATATCGTCACTAACAATATTATTGTGAACACCGAAAACAAATGGTTTTAGGCGAGACTAGTTTAGTAAAGTTTGGAAGAAAAAAAAAGATTAATAATAAACATTATTTCTTTATAGCGCGAAACCCAAGTGTCTTTAGCGTATATATCTTCGATTTTCCATTCACATTTCTTAGACAACGGCACGAACATAATAAAATATTGGTTTTATAAAGCATTTTATTTTCCAAATTCATTTACAAATGAGATGAAATAAAAGGGCGACAACAGTGACCCCTGTTTAACCCCATTCAAGCAAATGATGTATTTTATTATTTTTTGTTTAACCTTGTTGTGAATCGTTTAGAGCACTCTTAACTCAGTATCATCCACGTTTATGTATAAATCAAATGAATAATCTTTCATTAAAAAACATTAACATCAAGTCGGTTCAAGGTTCGATTAAATATCTCTGTTGGACGCGGCTAACACGTTCCATGATGTTAAATCTCCTTTAAGTTTGTTTCTTGCTTATTTTTTCCAATATTCAGAGACGCGGTTGTCTATACCCAGCTTACTTAAGATGTATCTTAATTGTCGCTTCAAACAGTAATTTGTGGGTTATTAGTTCGTTTATGAACGTGGAGATTTTTATTTCAAATAAGAAATAGAACATTGGCCCTGTATGGTTAATAATTATATTAATTACGGATAGCATTGTAAACGTTTACGAATTGCAATTGTATTTAATTGCATGGTAATTCCTATTTGTATTTGTGTGTGTGCAATGCCAGGTAGGATAATTTTGCTCGGACATCCGAATGGGATTTTGCATTTCAAATTATCAAGGGTTCTTTTACGTGGACGCCAAAGAGTATGCAGATGGACATGTTTGTTTAACCATCCGAACGATCAGGCACACATTTATTGTCAGTCTGACATGCTTGGCAATCCTGACTGACCACTCGACTACCACAAGTCCTATCTTTAATGGAATGACTAGCTAGGTTCTAGTTTATTGCGACTGGTATTTTTCCTGTACTGTTTTGATTACTAAATGTTCTCTGACGCCTTCAGATTTGGCAGGAGAGAGAGAGAGAGTGAGTGAGAGAGAGAGAGAAATGGGGTTTAACGTCCACTAGACACAAACCAGGTCATTTCGGGAGTAACATATGGTACAATTTTATTTCAATAATTCGCTTGCGCGTAGGTGTATTTAGCAGTGGGAGGAAACCAGGGGACCCGGGGGAAACACACGAGGTTGGACAGGCGACCCTACTCCTTGTCACGTACAACCTGTGAATCGAAACCAGTTGACTCAATGACAGGTCTTATGATACAGAGCACACGTGCTATCCATTCGCCATCCAACCCCCCAGATTAGACAAGAAGATTCAGTGTGCAAGAAAATGATTTATTAATACCCCTAAAAATTAATAATATATTTGCCATTATAAGATTTGTTTTATCAACTGTTTAATGAAATGACGAGATCTTAGAGGGGTTTTCTTGGCGAGGTGTATGAAAGATGGTCCTTTAATATGTTATGGATAGGCTGACTATGATTCGGGCTTTTTTTGTGTGCAAATGTACCCATAAACAAGATAAAGAAATTCCATCAATAGTGTTGTACAATTTGTAGCAGTTGGGGAGACGCTTCACAGAAAAACAAAACATTTATGTGGCTAAATGATTAGAATTGTTGAGGATACGTGATACATGCGAACGCCACAGAGATTAAATCGTTAGTTTTTGGGAAACCAGGGGATATACATTTTCCTAAAGCTTGGACGATGGTCGATCCTGATCTCTGTTTTGAAAAAATGTCACCCTTTGCATGACGTAACTCAGTACTGTAGTGTTTGTTTGCTCGTCGTGTTTTAAGCTACAAGTGAATCAAAATGATCGTCCTTAAAACTATAAATCTTCTCACAACCTTGGAGAAGCCTGTGACTAGTTGTCTATCTGGTAGAATTTTAATCTACTAACATATACTGTCTATGACGTGTCTGATGGCAGTTGTGTTAGAACTACCTACCTTTTGGATACTGTAGCTAGGGAATGATTGACATGCAATCTATGGATGCATCAGATTAAGAAATACTAAACGATATCAACCGCTCTACGAGATGTATCATTCTTTTTGTTGCAGGACAATGGATATTTTGTTAACGATATTAGCAGTATTATTGAGTGTTTGTAATTTTATCAGCGCAGAAGGTAAGCATAAAACTCTCTTCTCCATCTTTACACTGTCATTGCTGTAAACAATATATTAATAATATTTTAGCTAACAAACATTTGCATCAATCTTATTTGATCTAATTGATTCAATACTTTAGGTTTGGGAGAAAAAGCCAAACTAATGTAACGGTTTCAAATAACTGTGATTTGTTAAAATTTTCATAAATGATCTTTTATTTATTATTTTTAGGTTCCAATAAGAAAGTGTTCTGTTACTATAGTAGTTCAGCAAACGGTCGACCCAGTGTGGGTAAATTCTGGCCAGAGCACATAGATGCCTTTCTATGTACTCATATAATCTTTGCATTTGTGGATATCACGAAAGATGGCAGAGATTTGAAACCAAATAACTGGAATGATTTGGGACCAGAAGGTAAGCCCTCTTAATCTACATGGATTAAAGGAAATGTGGTAACACTAATACTGATAAAATTTGATTGCTTTGTGATTTTAGCTTCATTTAGTTGCCATCTGTAACACTTTATGGTATTAAATTTCTAAAATACCCGCCCGTTATACTGCTAGCTCCACAATTATAAACACATGCGTGATCTTGAAATTAGCGAAAACTAGCATTTGTCCATTCTCGTGACATATCAGATCAACATTGGCTTCTTTAATCTTGAGATGGATTTTTCTCATCATTACAAGTACACAATCTCGGATGGAATGTATTTTAGCTTTGTGTTTAGATAGAAATTGTTCCATTTTTTCAAATTGATTGGCAACTTCCACATTATTCAATGCATATCTTCAATTCTTTGGATGACTTTTCGAAACATCCGTGCAATTATAGCCAATTCAGAATTAAGGCAGATTGTTCAGTCAACGATCACAATCCAGATTGGAATTCTTGTTAAATTTCGTGTAAAATTCGTGACATGTTAAGAATTTTACCGTTGCCCATTCCAAACAGAATATATTTTGTACAGTATTGATGTATTTTTTTTTCTCACACTTTCCTGTGCAAATCTCCTCTTCGTCCGATAATGACTTAGTAAAATGCAAGACATTCTCGCGGCTATTCCTTATCCGATCAAACACGAAGTGAAACAGAACTACGCAAAATACACAAATGAAATCAGATTAGATGGCTATAAAAGTGGACATGATGTCTGCTGCTTTACGTTGGCAATTCTAGTGGACTGTATTGAAACTCCAATAAACCATGTATTTGTTTTTAAAACAGGTCTTTATGCTCGAACAATTCGTCTGAAAGAGAAAAATCCAGACCTCAAGGTTTTATTGGCCGTGGGCGGCTGGAAGATTGGATCTAAACCATTTCTTCCAATGATAAAGGATGAAAGTACGTGGACAGTTTGGGTCAAAAATGCAGTAAAATACCTCAGAAAGTTAGTATATCAGTGTCATTTATTGACTTAACTAAAAATTTAACCACACAGGAATTTAATAAGGAAACTTAATACGCGAACATCCAGAAAGCCAGGCCGAATTCTTTTAACACCATTATTTAAATTAAACGAAAAAAAACCCATATAAACCGGACATCCGGTGTTAGATTCCTACCCAAATCGCTTTAGAGCTCGTCGAGCAACTCGATCCGATGAGCACGTCCGTTCTTCAGTACATATCACAGAAATTTTGACGGTTAATCTCCAATATGTTGATAGGGGCACAAACTAGGGTTAGTTATAATCCATTAACCTATCGTCTTATATTATCTTCGTCAAAATGACCGGGTTAAAACCTCTTAAAAATTAAGTACTTCAAAATATACAGGTCAGTGTTCTTCTCATGGGAGATAATCGGGAAAGGTCATTGAAATTAAACGGATTGTAATTAAGGTGGTGGGTTTGACTTGGCAGAAAGGTTAACCTGTTATGCATGTAGGACACAGTCTACTTAGATAAAATGTCTCATTTATTAAGAAACCCACCTTAACCAGTGAGAACCCAGAAATAAAAGAATCATAAATGATTTAGAAAAAAAATATCTGTTGAATAATTGTTCATTTTTTATACAGTCATATTCTACAATAATATACGAATATTGATTTTGAGTATAATTATTCTGCACCTTTGAAAACATATTTAATATTGCAATGTAAGAACCAATACAAAGTAACAATTCTTTCTAGTAGTCCCTTGGAAAGTCTTGCTGCCTTCCATGGTATTGATATGTGTTAAGCCCCATTCTGTTTGTTATACATTTTAGATATGGATTTGATGGTATGGATATGGATTGGGAATTCCCTGGAACACGTGGAAGTGGTGAAGAGGATAAATATAAATTTACAAAATATATGAAGGTAATGTTTGAATCTTGGACAGATTACTATACCCAAATACTGCCTGTTCCGTATACCTTGTGTCTGCACAAAGCAAGTTCAATTTTAAAAATCTTCTCATGGCAAGTGAAACATAACAGAAACGGTGTTTAATGTCCTGTTAATGACGACTGGACCTCTGTCTTTCGTCACATCCGAATGGTTAGATGTCTTCCCCTTATTCCTGGATCACTGAGAAACAGGAAACTAACTGAATAAATCTAGATGAACGCTCCGGGGCCACCTACTCACATAGAAGATATAACTAGGCAAAACAATCCTATATTAGACAACCATGAGCAAAAGTAATGTACCGTTGGAAAATAAACCCAGGTGTTTCAAAAAGGGCGAGCATACACTACTGCAAAGTAAGAAATGCAGCAGTCCTTGATATTGGTTTATAAACTGTTACATAGACAGGATCCGAAGTCTTTACCTAGTGCCGTCTAAAATCGATGTTCATTACTACACATGTACCTCGTTTGTATATTTCAGTGTATTTACGATTCGTTCGCAGAAGAAGCTGAAGCATCAGGGAGAGAGCGAATGCTTCTAACTTTAGCTACAGCTTCTAGTGAGTTTTACATCAGTAAATCATATGAACCAGATCAAATTTACAAGTGAGTAGTAGAGGTTCCCTTTAATTTTGTTTTCAGTAATTTATAATATCAATTGAGGATGCTTGTGCAATCAGGAGGACAAGTGCCATTTCACACAAACTGACAAAATTAGTACTTTTGCATATTGTTATAGCTGAAAACTAAACTAAAATTGACATTGACTGTGATAAAAATGATAACATGATATATATTCTGTTTATTATAGATATATAGATTATATGTTATTGATGACGTATAATTATCATGGATCAGGTTGGGAGAAGTTTACAGGTCACCACAGCCCCTTGTTACCACATCCTTCAGATCCAGAAGGTGAACAGCAAGAATTACATCAGGTACAACCACATGTTTTATGAATATTGATTAGCCTATGGGTAGAATGCGCCTCTTTCGATTAACTAAAATGGTTCGCAACCAAAATTTCGTCTGTTTGAAATTATCAAAGTTGTCTAGAAATAAACAAAAGATAGTATACAGCAAAGTTTAATCCTGTTTTATTCACTAAAATCTTCGATCGCCTCATGTATTTACTCATTTGTAGTCAATAATATTATTTAACTAATCATGTCCTTTCAGCAATGGTCAATATCGTATTGGCTGCGAACTGGTGTACCCAAAGAGAAGTTGATTGTAGGATTGCCGACGTATGGTTTGGGATTTAAGTTACTAGATTCAGCAAAGCATGGTATTAGACAGGCCGCTGATGGAGGAAACACTAAGGGAAGATATACAGAAGAATCAGGAATATTGTCTTTATATGAGGTAAGGCATTGAATTCAACCTCAACATTTTAAGCTGGATTAAATCACAATAATATTCATATTGTAACTGATACCAGTAAGGATGTCATTTATACCCGGATCATAATTAGCTGCATTTGATAAGTCTTAGGCACTTGGAACGAACCAGAGGACCACGAGAAAATCCACGAGGTTTGGCAGGAAAACCTATTGGGTTGGTTTGGTAGGCGTCCTTCTCCTTGTCACAAACAAGCCTACTATCGAAACCATGACACGTGATTCAATGACATATCTTAGGACCCAAGGCTCTGACTTTCGACCAGGCTCATTGGATATCTCAGTGGTAAGTGGCTTCGTGTGTTCCGGAAAGAATAACAAAATTTATAGCTAGGAAGCCAAAATTGGTCCGAGTTTTAGAGAAGTAACAATAGGTCGCCTCGATATTCAATCTGATTAAAACACAGATCCTATTTCGTTTCGTTTTTTATAGTTCAAAATATCGTTTTATTTGTCTTTACTACGTCACTAGGATCTGGAAGGGTTGTTATATAACAGGCGTTCTGTTACGGAGACTTCTTACGGAACTGTGGGTAAATCACTAGAACGTCAGCGCTGATTGATTAATCAATGTCTGACGCCATAGGTCAAATGCCGCTCGTACGACCCCTGACGCGACCTTCCAGTACAACTGGTCAGATCTTCATGTAGTGTAGGCCATCGAAAGTATAAAAAAAACGAAACGAAATATAGATCTGTATTTTAATCAGATTGCACGATATTATGACATAGAAAGGGAAATCTGGATTTAACTTGTTGTTTGAAGATATGTGAGAAGATCCAGGATGAAGGTTGGAAGGTTGAATGGATCGATGAACAGAAAGTACCATATTGTCATGGTGGTGGTGAATGGGTTGGTTTTGAATCACCAGACAGTATTGCTATAAAGGTCAGTTATCACATGATGATTTGTTATAGTATTGATCAAATTAAATTACACAACGTGAAATGCTAACGGAATCTAAGAACCGGGGTCAATGTCTAAAACATCGCTAAAAACGTCATACCCCGCGAAATTTATGTAATATTATACATTTTGCCTCCACAATACCAATACTTGATCACGTTGTAATGTTATATTAAAGGAGACAAACATCTTTGATTTTGGTCAAAATTAAGTATTGAGTTGTGGATCTGTCTGATTAGTGATAGTGCAAGCCGTATGCGATTAAATACCGTATATTGTTTAGCAGAAATGTCTTTGCGCATGGTTTCTTATATTGATGTATTTAATACATTTAAGACAACAAAAGTTTTATAAAGGGCAGTATTTTAGTTGAAACGAGGCAAACAATTTTAAGTAAATTCTTTGTTCTGAGAGAAAAAAAAAATATTTTGTGAAACGGGGGCGTGGTGCATTAATTTGATTATATACTATTGAGATGACCTATATATATTTCGTTACATTTTTGTTTCGAGAGATTGAACTGATGTCGATTTGTTTACAATTTTTGCATTCTGCACACAGGGAACTATCTACTTTGAGAAGAGACCTCTGTCCTAAATGGCCGCCATATTGCAAACTTAGTGTTCTATTTTGTTATGCGGTTCTGACCGGTTTTACCTAATTACAAGACTAAATGAACATTTTTAATTTAATTAAATATGAAAATGTAAGCGGAATAAATACTTCTTAAATTGTATTTTGTCGTGGAAGAACTGTTTAAACATTCGGAAGAAGAGAAAGTTTGCAATTCGAAATCCAATTTGAAAGCAAAAGTTAAAATTAACTCGAGTTATGAACTATAATTTAAGTTTTTAGTTGTTTTGTTTATGAGATTCATACATTAAACTGTTTTTGTGACATATCTCTTCAGGCCAAAAATATATTGATGCGAGATCTGGCTGGTGCCTTTATCTGGTCAGTGGAAATGGACGACTTTAGTGGACATTGTGGCGGTGCCAAATACCCGCTCCTGAGAACCGTTTCAGATATTCTTAAGAATGGGTTAGATGCATTTAAAGTTGGTGCCGCTGCTAGCGTCGATGTTGAACCAGAAGGTAAGCCTGTTATATTTTATTGTATAGTTTGGGCTAATAAACGAGACAGGGCTATATATATTACAATAATCAATATAACTAACATTATATTTATTCCGAATGAGATTTTTGTTATTCGAGCTTTGGTTTCACGTGTTAATTATTTCAGTCATTCGGCTATTGAATTAAACTAGTCTAGTGACCAACGTCACAGTTTGAATTGTGATTCATAATTGTGGACCTTTATACAGTTAAACTTTTTATTCATTTTCACATTTAATTCATTATTACTTTACCTTGCTCTGTATTAATGCCGTTTTTATATTGTGCTTCATCTATTATTTGTTGGGATCATTTTAGACACAACGTATCCTTAACGGATAATTTGTAATTAATCAACACTTATTTTCAATTAATCCATGCTATGTTTTCTGTTAGTCAATTAATCCATGCTATGATTTCTGTAAGTCAATTAATCCATGCTATATTTTCTGTAAGTCAATTAATCCATGCTATATTTTCTATAAGTCTATTCTGTTTTTCCTCCAAAAATAAAATTAACGTTGTCTAAAATTATCCCAACTCTCATCATTGTTTCATGTATGAAAGCGCAACAAGGCTGCATGAGCATTATGTATAGTAACGTTATGGTATTTCCCATTAAGAAATGGTTGTTACGGCTGAATCTTTAGCCATGCTTTAAGGAAACCTTGGGGTTCCCCAATTCGTCGATTATTTTTAGGTTAATTCCTTTTTCTATGGTTCCGTATGCTATGCTAGAAATAATAAAAATAAAAAAAAGACAACTTGTCTGCGATATCACCCTCGGTGTAAGCGGACGTTAAACATTAAGAACAACAACAGATCGTAAAACGAAATCTTGAACTATAAAAAAACGAAACGAAATAGGATCTGTGTTTCAATCAGATTGAGCACATCGGGATATTCTTGAAGGTCAGAACACCACTCTCCCGCCAATAAGGTGAACCAGATAATATAACACACCAACACGATGATTCTTGTTTAAATAAGGAAATGTTCCAAACCACTTATTACAGTGCAAAGCTAAGCTGCTTATGTCAGATATACACTAAAGCCCTTTTTTTCTGTCTGGCTCATTTCAAATAGACAGCGTATACATACTAACAAAGAAGTACTAATTAACTATTTGTACCTTTTTAAAACTTGTAGTGTAATTTATTTTGAAAAATACGTCTTGTTTTGTTTCCCACTTATCTATCTGTCTATTTTTTGTTTTGTACAAAGACGACATTGGAAGCCTTTTATAGAACATCCGATATGAAAACAACGTTTTGCGCGACCTATTTACAGCGCGCGCGTCCTGCAAATCTCAGCGCGAAATCCTTCATCGAAAAGTACGCAATTATTTTTGCAAGCGTTGTGGTTTTTTGCAGCGTTCATTACAAAGCGAGCGGCAGTGGATGCGATCACGGATATGCGCTTCGCATCTAATCATGTTGAATGTTGTTTTCGTAGGCGAATTGGATTGTAATAAAGTTGGTCTAGGAATCTACAAAGATCACGAATCGTGCAGTCATTTTAACCTGTGTGTACCAGCCGACCATGATTCTCTTAGAGCTCTACGAATGGTTTGTCCAGATGGAACATTATTTGATGACCAACTTAAAGTGTGTAATTACGAGGCACATACTTCATGTTAACTGAACTTTCATTCAATTATTATGTTGGGGAGGGGGAGGGGGTAGATTAATACTTTAAAGATGGCAAGCAATTTTAGCAAATGTGATCAGTCGACCGATATTTTGATTGACACACTAATATCGTATGATGAATTGTTCCATAAAACGAATTTCGACAATGGGGGTGATGTTCATCTTCTGCTCAACTTGTACTAAATCACTTGAAGGGGTAGATCTAAATTTTAATAGATATATCTATACAGTGCCGTCGTCAAACGTAATTTGAACTATCTTTCTTTATTTCGGCACAAACGTGATCTAAACACTTGCTACCATTGTTTAATTCTACTATTTATCTTTCTTTATTTCGGCACAAAATATATACGTTTTGTTAAGCTATAGTTAATTATAGCAAATTGTTAAGCAAGGGCGCCGGAGCCCGGGTACCAGGTACCCTGGACTTTTCTGGGGTATACATGTATACCCATGCCCTAATAATGAATGTTTTCAACCTTTTTACTAGTCTATTCATTTTTAAATGATAGATATGTAATTGCTCTCTGGTCGCTCGCGAACCGGTTCTCGCACTCTCATTATCAGCTATCAGTGCATGCCTTGGCCAGATGTCTATAAGTGGTTAATAGAGTTCATGAGATGATAAAGGCAAGTGATTTAGTGACAGTAGTTTCTGTTTATAGTTATTAGCTTTTTCAATTACACAATTACACCCCTCTCCCCGGACCCATTCCCCCATCCCCTATCTTTTGGTACCCTGGCCCTCGCGCCGTTCCGGCGCCCCTGTTGTTAAGCTATAGTTAATTATAGTAAATTCTAATTATGTTGTAAAGTTTATGTAAAACAATATTACAATGTCTCATTCTGTGTGTCCATTATTTATTTATTTATTTATTTATTTATGTACATCATTTAATTTAATCACCTGTAAATATTCCACACCCAGGGCCGTATTAACTCATGGCCGTGCCCCCTCACTCCAGTGCCTGGCTATGTTACTGTATATTCATTTTGCGGGTCTCGTGAAATTGGCATCATTTGCTTGCCAATAGGCATTAAAATAATGCAAGTGCGTTTGAGTACAAAATGCCTTTAATCACTGGAGCCCAAACAGTGCCCGGGCAAATCAAGAAATTGACGGAATCTCTAGCTCCTAAGCTTCGTTCTGGTCCGTCTTGTGGATAATACGGCTCTGGCCACACCTCATCATTATACCGATCCTTATATCAGGTACCGGTAATGTAGAAACACTCACTGTACATTGTTAACTTTTATCTTAATTAACTTAATTTATTTATTACTATTATATATTTTACATAGAATGATAACAACCTTGTATATTACCAGTACTCTTAATTTTAAACGACTTCAGTGAAACAGGACATCGCAGAACTAATTTATATTCCGGGGATCCGGAAATTGTTTCTGAAGTATAGATCATAACGGGAAGGGAATTTCGCTCCTTGGAAAAACGTGTATGTGGCGTGCTCGGTGATGCTGTAACTGTCTGCTTTAGGATCCACTGTACGTCCCATCACATGGACGTTCAAAAGTGCCATTACATGATCGTTAGTAGTGGTAATTCGTATGTTTCGCCAATTGTCGCCTCGATTATTAAATGTTGACTTAAACAGAACCCGTTTGACTCTGTAACTGCTTTACATTTTTCATCAATCAAGAGAGGGAGAGAAATGGGGTTTAATATCCACTCGACACAAACTGGGTCATTTCGGGACTAACATATGGTTGCAATTTATTTCAATAATCCGCTTGCGCGTACTGGTCTTTCGCGATGGGAAGGAACCGTATAGTACCAGGGGAAAACCCACGGGGTTGGACAGGCGACCCTACTTCTTGTCTTGGCTTTTCGGAATTGTTCGGTATAGAGTACAGCTGGCCGGTTTAGAGGGTTGTTATGATGTATTTGTATTATGTTGTCAATGTAGATAAAATATGTATGTAGTTCGTTAATAGAAATAAATTATCCAATACAAATTGTCTCTTATTTTAAATATTATAACTGGGACGACGTATTTCAGATATGTTCTTCTAATCGGATAATTGCCATGTTGGTTGTTTGGAATCTACTTTAACGATACGCCGGATGCACGAAAAGATAAAAGAGACTATTCCAAATTATAATATCCAACACAACACGATGTGAATACAGATCCTAAAAGCATAATATTCCGTATTTAAATGTAAGACAAAGTGACAAATGTTGTTTAGTTTCCTAGACGGCTACAACAAACAATATAACAATATTCCTGGATATAAATGTTTTATTCTTCAGACGTCAGCTGGTCAGTAATAAGGGACTATTGTGCAGTTTAGATCGACGTAAATTACGCTACGATTGATCGGTTTTGGGTTATTTCTTTAACCAATGCCAATATACTTTTTCGTGAATCCTTACAGGCTCTATTTCCGTTCACCATGAAATGCCTGATCTTTAATTAAGGATATACATAACTCGAATGAGGGTATTATTAGTGTCAATGGGTATTACACTAGAAATGAAATGAAATGGGGTTTAACGTCCTGTTTTGCTGCACCAACTGGGATAATGAAGACAGGAATACGCTATATAATGTGCTATGACAGCCATCCTGTCCGAACAACGGGGTATTCGTTATTATACCCGATGTGCACGTTAAGCACTGGGGTCATAAGAGATTGAACACTATCGATTTTCAGTGTTCCGTGAATTTTCGTTCCGGAGTTATCCCCCTTTACCGAAAACCTTGTGAGTTTTGCGTTCAACATTGGGGTAATGAGCGAATGAACCCTATCGATATTCAGCGTTCCACAACTTTCCGTTCCGGAGTTATGCCCCCTTTCCGAAAAACCTCGTGAATGCGATACAGGCTAAATTTAATGTGTCTTTTTCATATTTGGCTTGAAGCATTGGGATCATTGATGACTATCGATATTCACAATCCCCTCTTTGCCGACAACGGTGGGAATGCGATAGAGGTTACTGGTTTTAACATTTGTTTTCGTACATGGTTAGAAGCAATGGGACCATACAAGGATGAACCCTAGAGATTATATTACTTCAAGTATCCAGGATCCATATCAAATTTGCTCAATATCCAAATTTTCCTTTTTCCGGATAAGCTCCAATTGAGACAAAGGAAAATGATAAGTGGTCATTTCACATACTTGGGGTTCACAGATTTATATACTTATCAATTTTCGTGTAGTTGGAAGGTGGCCCTGCTCTTTGGTCACCAGGCCACTTGACTCAATGACGGACCTTGTGATTTCACGCACACACTTTAAACCACTAGACCACCCAACTCTCAAAATATTAGACCAGATTATGAAATGAGAAATTCAATATAATATATTAATTGCAAGTTTCGAACAATAAATGAACCTGGCCCGCTATTTTTATTCTGTTTTTCAGTCTCAAATGATGAAGATTGGGATGAATGCAATGAACTTGGTATATACGAAGATTATGATTCTTGTGATCATTTTAAACTATGTGTCAGTAGTAATGGTGGAGGACTGATTGGTATCAGAATGCGATGTCCTGAAGGAACCCAGTTTGATAAAGAATTGAAAGTTTGTAATCATCATGATAATGTATCTTGTTGATATGATCATCATCGTGGTATTATTACTATTATGAATTATTATTTTGTTAATAAAATATTTTATAATAATTCCATTTCATTTTGTATTGCCTACCAACTTAATGTGGGAGTACCCCAAACCCCTTATATTAAATATGACACATAATAAAATAGTTTTTTTAAAAAAAATATAATTCGTAGCCAGTAGGAAATATAGAACCATCATGGAAAATATATTTGTTGTCATCAATATTTGGCTTACTAGGTAGTTCTACAGAAAGCCAGTTTACAACTATAAATTTAATGATTCGTTACCTGTTCCAATATAATGCTATACTCACATTTGAAAAATACGATGTATTCTCAAGTCAATATTAGAATCAATGTGTACTGAATGATCTATTAGAAACACAAGCTAACAAGAGGGTCGTAGACACGAATTTGATTTCAACATTAACAGTTCTAAAGATAAAGCAACCGAACTTGAGACACGTACCTTCGCTTTAAGTATTGTATCCAGAAATGTTTCAGCGCCAATCCAGATGCTATCTACACAAAATATTTTAAATGGCCCATCATAAAGAATTGATTGGTTTCATCATTAACAGTTCTAAAGATAAAGCAACCCTTTATTATTAACGCTAAATATCGTACTGGGGCAACTTGATAGATCTTTCAATTTACAACTAAAATAACTCGCACTATCAATTCTGATTACATAGGAAATTGGATTTTACAGATCTGCGTCCATCGTCAAAATACAGAAAAATATACATAATCTCATTCGGATTAAATACAAATTACTTTTACAGATATCTCTAAAGTAAAATTTGTCCAATTAATGTCGATCTCAATGCAGGATTATGAATAATTTGAATTATGGGAAGTCGTTTCTAATGTGAAATGCCAAAGACATGGTCATCCTTCAAACCATCTGTGTTTGCGTTGGTATGAACCATTTCCCATTTTCTCATCCATGGACCTTGTATAGTTGTATCAAATTCATCCTTTACAAATACATAAAAAGAAACAAACAATTAGAAATATACACTACGGATATGGATGACTCGAGCCTCCTCTATTTCGAATATGTCATGACAATCCATTATGTTTCGACATAACGAGATTTAACTGCACATACCACTTTATATTTTTTTAAAAAGGGGGATTCTTTTCTACGGTGTAATAGATGTGATAGAAATCAATGCATTTCAAGATACATCATGTAAGATTTAGATAAAGAGCTGGTCGTCCTTGCTGTAATAGTTTTAAAAAGATAATGAAAGATGAATATTCCAGTCAAAAGACTTTATTCTGAGTTATAAAGGTTTGGAGTTTTGACAATACCCTAAAGTAAATAGTCTTAATTGTCAAGTACCATTACTACGAGGATAAACGAATTATCTCTTTTCTACTTGAATCTTCGCGAAAATATGACAGACATTTCCTAATCTATCTAATTTCTCAGCCATCCGATGATCTAGAGAGTTGATTAAGGAGTAATGAAAACGGGCATACGCAATAGAGTGTGCTATGAGGGAAAAATATATGTAATTCCTACTGCCAAGGGTTATCTTATGTGGACGCTAATTTGTACATGAAACCTCGGTTTTCGTCCAATTCGATCGACTATGCGTTGTCCCCAGGGTCGTAACTAGCTCCGAGCAACGAGGGGGGCGGAAAATGTTCTCAGAGGGTGCTGTAAAATTGACGGGCAATGTATATTTACATGTATATTGTTTTTATGGTCGACAATTTTTTTCACAGGGGGTCGAAACTGAAGCCCCCACCCCCCTAGTTACGGGCCTGGATGTCCCTTGCCAGACCCTCTGTCCTGTATCAGGGAGAACCACGCCAGAAAATCCCTATGAAGTTTTCGGCCAAGACCTGGATCGAACACGGGACTCATGGTGACCGAGACAACGTCTTACTAACGGAGAAATTTATAAATTATCAAAACAGAATGGGATTCGCATACCTGTTGAAATTCTGTCAACTCTTTTGCCGCCACAACATGTCGATTCGCATCAACATCATAAGGACTCCAGTCTATTTTCAAATTGTGCTTTGTGGGAGATCTAAATTCGACAGTTTCCGCCATATCATAAAAGGATGCAGGAAGACCCGTTTTCTGCCAGCGCAAATCTAAACTCCAGCGAATTTCATCTGATAAGTTTGGTAAACTATTAAAAGAAATAACATTATAAAATCGTCATATTTTAATCTTAAAATACCAAAGTATTATACTTGATCAACATGCCTGTTATCGTATTGTTGACCAAGGATAAAATCTTGATAATTTGTCGGGTTGCATGTCTCAGGGAGATAACTTAGTAGATCACACTTGTTTTATCGTTGACGTGGACATTAAATCTCACCATGAACCCTGGACCAAGTTTGTCCAGCAGTAGCATACATCCAACATTTCGTTGAAAATTGCACCATGACCATAAAGCCATAAAGTTTATTCTTAGCTGTGTCACTTAAAACCCAAGAGTCGTATTCAATTCATTTACTTAATTTTCACCTTAGGTAAGGTATTTAATTTAATTAATATCAGATTTATGAAAGCTAAGGAAACGTAATAAAACGGAATTAGGTCGTATCTTTGTTCCAGTCTGTTCCCCTTTGTCAGTGGTGCAAGAAGGAGCATCTGGCAAGGAAAGGCGTCCTAGGGATGGTACGAAAGTCCAAAGTAAAGGAGCATTCAAGCACATGGAACGCAGTGTAGCAAACACAAAAATGAAATGAAACGGTGTTAAATTCTTCTGTGTCAATCGGGTAAGTTCTAAAGGTTAACGCCCACTGAAGATTTCTCAAGGTCGCAGGATGTAAATGTTGTTAGGACACGTGATTGTTGACGAGATTGTAGGTTTGGGAAAGGTTTAGTGTTAGGGTTAGCGTTAGTCCTGTTTACATCTCGTGACCTTTGATAAAACCTGCAGTCTAACATAACTTTTAGAAATTAGTACAGAAGAGTTGGTACAGAAGAGATAAACACCGTTTCATTTCATTTTTCTGTCTGCTACCCTGCGCCCCATGTGCTTGAATGTCACAGTCACACAATGATGATATTCTCACCGCCATCGCTTCGGTATTTCAGAGCTAGAGGGGTGAATATATACATGCATAGAGAGAAATGGCTTTTTACGTCAACTTAACACAAACTAGACCATTTTAGGACTCCATGAAACATATGGTTTTAAAACGCCGATGTAGCATGTGTAGCTTTTTATACAATGAGAGAATTTAGACACAGATTTTTTTTCCCTTAAACATAAGGTATCTGGAACCGGCACTTTAATTTAAGGTTGATTTTCGTATTAAATATTGATTTAAGAAGTTTCCTTAAGTCTTCTTAAAGTTAAGGTGAAATTGTACCTTAAGATTAAGTGGTCACTTAAATTCAAGTTCATTGGAGAATTCCTATATGTCATATCTGTTTACTTTCTTATTCATCAAATCCAAAATAATAAATATTGAGTAGCGCCTGTCCAAATGCTTTTCGTTGATTCTAGACCAAAATGTCTAGAGAAAAAGAAGACCATGACTTACCTCTGGTGTGGTATGACGTTATTGATTAATAACATTCCACCATAAGGTACTGGACAAGGTACTACATCCTTTTCCATATCAACACCTGGACAAAAATACAAACAGTTAAATATTTCATCCTAAAAGGAATAAAATCACGATATGACGGACTAAAGGTTGATTTTAAAGTTGAAGACCATTACTAGTTCATCATTTAAAAAAAACAACAAAAAATAAAAGAATTTTGTTCCAAAATTTACTCCAATGTTACAATTAATTACGCTAACTTTCAGTTTAGTTTTCTCTTCCTGTAACCATCATGCGTCTCCACTTAAGTAATAAAATTCGTACAAGCAGCAGACTCGTTCCTCAAGAATGGTCTACCTTGGTGTGCAGTGGTCAGTAATAATTGCTATGGAACACTTACCAAGCGTTTTAGTCATTTCTTGCTCGTCAAGCATAATATAAGTTGTGTCTTTCCAGCAACATTGGTGCAAAGCTATTTTACCCTTTCTATGCGCTCCAGAAACAACCTGTTAAAATACATATACAAACTAGATTTATTAGTCGTAATATCCTGATCTGTCTTATTCTTTTACATCGCTGGATGACCGTGTGATAAAATATCGTCGCTCATTAATTAACTGCAGTATTGTTACTGTATTCCTGCATTCCTTTGTACAGTCGTTAAAAGTAGTATTGTCGTTAACAGGAAGGATTGCCCGAAAACTGATACTGGATTTAGTAAAGTGATATTACGTAGAATAACAGAGCAAAGTATTATATGTACCCGTAGATGTGCTAGTTTAGATACTTACCCTCATGCACCCATTCTTTTCGTTAGTATCTAATAGAGGAATCCAAGCTGTCGGCTGTAGTATTTTATATGCTCGATTATCAAGATAGGCGGCATCTGTATTACGAAGATAACAAAACACCTACATAGCAGGTTACAAGTTTTTAAGTTTTTATATAAAGCCCAATATCCGTTCAAACTTTACATTTCTGTTTCCAAATACTACCTAAAATGTGTAACGATTCACTAATGCATTAAAGACTACATGAAGTGTCGCTATACGATAGGGTGTCTTTTGCAATTAAATCTCTATTATTTGGAAACTAAACTTGGCCAAAATAAAAACTCATAAAATGTATATAAACCGATTTACAATCATGTTTCAAAATTTCTATTTCTAATCATTTTTGTTCATTGAGAAACGTAAGCAGTCGAATGGCAATCGAATGGCAGTCGTTCCTACATCGGAAGCGCGATCTGACGTTTATCTTCGTTCATCAAGACGTCTCATTAGAAACAACATTCGAAAGCATAGTGTATACGCCGGCATGTTATTCACTGTTTCTTTTAAACATTTAATATCGGGAGTCTATATGTTTACGGTAAGATAACAACATAAATTTTGATTGAATGGAACAATAATTTGTGTTTCTACTGTTGAGTTAGAGCTTTACAAGCTTTCATTGTCGTAGCTGTTCTCACCTTGGTGCCAAGGAACAGTTGTAGCTTCATTATTTGGAGTTTTTGTTCTGAGGTTCCAAATTGGATTTCCAGATATTTCCGGTCCAATCAACTGTTCTACGACATTTAGTAACCTTTCATTAGTCCACAAATCTTTAAACGCCTAGAAAAGGATCCAAAATGGCGGCATTTAGCTGTTTCTATATGATTACAAACGATCGCTAAACACTCGAATCAAACATTTAGAAGTTGCCCTCTTTTAGTAAGGCGTATATCTGATAATTTGAATAGAATTATGTAATGTTACTGTCAATGACACTCGCGCATAAAAGAAACGAAGGTTTGATAGAATTTTATTAGAGTTCAAATGATCAATATAGACAACAATTTCAGATGAAATATGAATATTAAAAGATGATTGCTGACCTGAGCCAATTTTACAGTTTTGTGAAGAAGCATGTTAGCCCCTGGAAACTCCTTCTCTATGTATGTAAGTCGGTCACGTAATCCATATTCATTATACAGTTCTGTAAAATAATACAAAGCATAACCATTCAAACGGATCTGATTAAAATACAGATCTATATTTCGTTTTGTTTTTTATACTTTTGATGGCCTCTACTACACGAAGATCTGACTAGCTGTAGTGAGGGCGGCTTTTGACCTATGACGTCAGACTTTTCATTAACTAATCAGCGTTGATGTTTCTACTGGGATACCCACAGTTCCGTGCAAGGCACGCCAGGAACTCGCCGTAACAGACCGCTTCATTGGTTAATCTCTCACATCAATCAGAACGCGGGTTATATAACAACTCTTCCAGATCCTAGTGTAGTATAAAGACAAGTAAAACGAAATTTTGAACTATAAAAAAAACGAAACGAAATAGAATCTGTTTTTTTAATAAGATTGCATTTAAACAACAGATTTATTGAATAAAGACGTTGTACATATTAAACAACTAGGGGAAATGTTATAATCTCTATTGATCTAATTGAGGTTCATTAATTTCTAACTTATGCTATATTTTCCAATTTGATCATATTCAACTTTGTTATTGTCCTTCATCTTTTATTCAGGGTTTTAGTTCATTAATACCCGGAAAACAATATAGTCTGAATATGATAACATTAAAATATAGCTTCAAGGGAGAATATTACCACGGCAGCGGCTATATCACAGTCATTTATACCACATGACATAATTATATTGTTTTCCATATAATTGTGTCATGTGTTATTCTTATTCAGGTACTAAATGTCGTTTAAACAATTAGTCATTTATACTAGAACTTACGTTTAATTTTGCCGCCTTTAAAGAGCTTGTTGGCCAATATGTCTACTTCAAGTTCTATGGCCTTTTTACAGGGTTCCAAATCTTTTTCACAGTCGAAAAACTTTTCCACAATTACATAACCCTAATAAAAGAAGATACATACCCTGTATTCATATTGTCTTACAGTGACTTCGCCCAATTTGAATTGATTTCAGTACAAGCTCGACAGAATCGATTTAATCAAACCTTTGGTCTTGTTGACATTGATAAATAGCTGGGGGGGATGGACTGGTAGTAACCATGCCACTTCAAATTCAAATGATAATTTTAAATTTTCTAGACACAGGTCTTATTAAACAGAACGAATTAATACAATTACGTCATGTTGAAAGGAAACGGATCCTCAAAACACTTGAAAGATTCGGATAGAATAAAAAAAGTAATGGACAAATGGTCTAATTATTTTTGACTATATATACCCTAAAACGACCGAGAAATAGTATGTTGAAATAGTCAAAATTTTTGGACTAGAATAATTGACAGCCTGAAATATATCACTAAAAAAAATTAACCAACATACAACAATTGCTAGGACCTAGATATTTGTTATCATGTTTGTGACTAACATGCAGATAAAACTTGTTGAGATTAATTTGTGATTGTAAATGATAACCTTTTCAATCGTGTTATATAATCGGGATGATTCATTAATATAGAACACAATATCAGGTGTGTGTTGTTTGGTTTTGGTTTATTATTTTGCGTGATAGATAAAACTGCATAACGCAACCCAGTTGCTAAATATAAAGCACATATTGTTAAAATGACTACAAAATAGTCAAGGAAAATAGTCTGGAATACAAATGAAATGAAGAGAAATGCAATGGGGTTTAACGTCCTCTGTTCTGCTCCAACTGGGATATTGAAGACGGGCATACGCCATATAGTGTGCTACGAGTGAAATTTTGCGCGGACAGTGGCACTGCGGTCTACTCTTATATCGTATTCCAACTGTCAATGAATCTTTAACGTTCACAACAATTTGCACATGGGACCTCGCTTTTTCGTCCTCTGTCCGGACCTTTATTCTGCATCACTGGCAAGTGGGAACCATGCCGGAAATTTTCAATGAACATTCTCGGCCAACGCAGCGAGCCATCGTTTTATTCACTCGGCTACCATGGCTCCAAGAGTCAGAACTTCATCGCTTGTAGTAAAATATACATATCTGATTCTTAGCAACATTTAGAAATACTGTGGTTTTTGTGTGTTAAATAATATTCTTTCTGTGATATCTATTTCAAATAAAAGTCCAATAAATATAAAAAATTTCTGAATGTATCTCTCTAATCCTCGGAATTCTTTTGTATTAGAAAAAAAAAGATATACTAAAATCACGGGGTTACCTTATAAAATGTACTTACATCATTGAAAAATTGATCTATCATATGTTGCGGTAACTGTCCAGGTTTTTTCTCGGATGGTTGTGGTGGTTTAGTTGTAAATATTTCTGGATACGCTTCATCAACTTCACCTGGAAACCGCTTTGGTTTTTCTGACTGGGGCATGCTGATCTTATATATAAAGTAAATCAGACATTTAGTCGACTTAAGGCTTAGTGTCTGAATGAATTATTCCTTTCGTTAGCTTTAGTAAAATATCATATAGAACACCTATGTTTTCTATTTGTTGAGATTTATCTTCAATTTTGTTAAATAAATTATTTGTTTAAGAAATAAACAAAGACTGGCAAGTTTATAGTTATAGTTAGTGTTCGGATTTTCCCTTTCTTTCAAACATTTGATAATTGTGTTTGTCCAAAATATACGATATTATAGATCGTTGTGCAAATTGATTTTTTTAAAATTCGTTCAAACATACATTATGAACGAGCTAAACTGCCTATTGCAGGTCTTTCTGTAGGCCTAAACTATTAATTAGACATTTATTAACATGACAAGACCATAATCAACCTTGATGTCATCTGGTGGGTCCGATTTTCAACAGATTTGAATCCGATTTGTGGTTCAACAGCCGTTGATGATTAACCGTAAAAATGGATATCCGAGACTTTGTTTATCATCGTAACAACGGTAACAATGACAGCTGAGGCAGACGACAGTGTTATTAAAATGAAATTTTCAGAATATTCCCTTTACATTATCTATTTCTTTTTAACTATTATAGCGCAAACTGTCAGCGCGTTATCAAATCTTCCATAATGCCACATTAACATAACCAGACTTGGTTCCGTTATGCAAAACAAATGAGCTCCGCTTACCTTTGTTGCCGACAAACTAAAGTTACAGATAGTTGATCAGACTAAAACTCTTCACAGCTACACCACTTTTAAGAAATATAATACTAGGACTGAATGAAACAACTTAACGTTCGTTGGTGCATAAATAACACCATATCTGATTAATTTCCCACGACCTTGGTGCAACAATGTAGCTCTCAATAGATAAACAGAAATGGGTCATTAAAAAAATGGAGCATATTTTTCCCTCGTATTTATACAATGATTTTCTAGAACTATTATCGTCAAGGACATGGCAGCTTTTCAAAATATGGTAGTTTCATGTATATAGATATAACAACTGTGTTATTGGCTGAAACATTATGCAGCATCATACTAATTAGGACATGTGTAAAATATAAACAGAGAAAAATAGTGTTGTATTATGGTGAAATTTTCTACACAACCTGCTTGCTAAACAAATTGTCACAATGCCATGAAATCCATGGAGCAACATGGAAATGATTAATACAGTACGGGGTCGGAGTGAAATGAAATACAATGCAATTGGGTTTAATGTTCTACTCTTCTCCTCAAACTGGTCTAATTAAGACGAACATAATTATGTCATGCAGTGTGCTATCAAGGAATTTTTGCCTGCGGCCTACTCTTATATCGAATTCCAACTGTCATAGGTTCCTTTATGTGCACGTCAACGTGTACACGGGATTCCGGGTTTTCGTCCCATCCGATCGAAAGACAACACGATGTGCCTTACCGGCTTTACATAGTCATAATATACACTGTATAATTATAGCAGTATAGGACAGGTATATGGAGCTATTGCTTTTTAAGCAACAAAATAATACTTCAGTCAATTTGAAACTAACCTGTATTTGTTTATTTCTATGACTATGTATTCAATGTATTTGACCTGTCTACCTAGAATATTTCGATTTACAATTCGTACATGGGTAAACAATACAATGCCAATCATTGGCCACATTTCCGCAAATGCCACCCCTGAAAAACTGAAAAAAAAACCAAATACCGAAGGTTTTTATCCGCCCACGCTGGGATTCGATCCGGGTATATTCTAGCCGTATATTTACATTATATTCTAGCATTAAATTTAGTCTTACCTTTCTACATCATTGCTATATATATAATTTAAATTTCGAAAATTGAATGTAATCTCCTGCCAATATTTTAATCACACTTTAAACGTAATCACTGTCTTACTGGAAGCATTATATTCACTTTTCAAACTGGAGAGCAGTTGCTTTTTAGAAAGGAGCCAAACAAGGGGTGGTGCACACGAAGTTGGTCCATATTAAGAAAAAAACACAATATGTACAGTTCAGCGAAGATTTTATTTTTAAAACAAAAGTCAGTTTTACTCTACCCAATAAACAATAAACATTCTTTTGCATTAAATCAAAATAAATTAACAATGGATAATAATCTACAATGTACAGACAATAGGCTTATAATATATATATATTTTTATTTATGAGTGTTTCTCATTTTATATCACATCCAATTGTATACGAAATCGTCCTGTTCCTAAACTAATGCCCTTTTCTCGGTTTTAGATCGATTGATGGACATAAAACTTAGCTAACAATCTAAAATAAATATGCTTAAAGTATTGATGGGCCCCCAGAAACAACAATTATTGTTACGAACAGGCCGCCCTGCCACAATGATTGCTTTGCCGTAACTGCAGATCCTAAAGTACATGCGTTAATCCAGCTCTGATTAAATTATTTTTTTTAAGGATAGTGTGACATCTCCAAGGTTGACATTACAAAATTAAGGAAGGCGTTACTAGAGGAGCTTATTAAATAATTTGATTTACTCAAAAGATATTTTAATGTGATTTGTTATAGACATTTCCCTCCTTCAAACCATCTGTATGTCGATTGGGATGAACTATTTCCCATTTTCTCATCCATGGACCTTGTATAGTAATATCAAAATCTTCATCAACATCTTCCTTCTACAAATATATAATATATGACATTATGTAAGTGTGATATTGATACAAAGGGAAGTAACATAGTTTTTGACAAATAAGACGGTGAGTCGAACTCCACTATGTTTGATATTGATGTCTCGAAGCTGGTCTGTTTCGAATATTTTATGACGTTTCCTTCATAACGAGATTTAACAGTACTTTATGTTAATTTTCTACAGACGTATAAACAAAGAACTAACTGCCATAGGAATCGATGCAATTAATTAATGGACAGTTTGCCTGTTTTACTAAATATTTGAGAAAACGCCCACACAATTTATAGAAATATGCAAATCCACGTACCTGTTCATTTTCCATGTCTTTCACGGCAACACCATCATACTGACTCCAGTCTATTTTTAGATTTGGTTTAGCGGGAGATCTAAATTCAACACACTCCTGAAGATCATAATATGATGCAGGGAGGCCCGTTTTCTGCCAGCGGAAATCTAAACTCCAGCGAATTTCATCTGATAAGTTTGGTAAACTATTAAATTTAAAAAAAAAATAACATAAAATTTTCATACCAGTAATAAAATACCCCAAAAATGTGTTCTCTCAAAATAACAATAAATAGTAACATGAAAGTATCATATTTTAGTATCAAAATAGGACCCAAGAATCTTGTAAACTTTTCCACACAGTCATGTGATAACAGTTGGGGCATCTGATATGTTTTAAGTTATATGACTAAATTAGGAGGGGGGGGGCGTATCCCGGGGGTGTCCGGTAAATGATAATCTAGAAACGGTTTATTGATACGAATATAGGTTTTTTTTCTTAAAAGTTAAGTATTTCGAGCAGGTACCTTAATCATAAATTTTAATTTTCGACCTTAACATGTGAACTGAATACCAATCTAAGGATGTTTCCTTAAAGGAGGGAAGTCGCTAACTCAGTATCATCCACAGTCTTCGACATTGCAAACACGACCTTTTGGCCTTATATCCAATATTAAAGACAAAGTGAAAATTTTCAAATGCTTTCGGGCGCCATTTTTAAACATAACCCATAGGAGAATACTATTGGTGTAGACTGGAATAACCAGGCGCCAAAGACTGCCATTCAAGTTGGACTCTTCACGTATTTCCCAGAACATAACTGATTAGAAATAACAGTAAAATTAGAAAAGATTGAATGTAAAGCAGTTTATATACATTCATATTGCATTATAATATGCGTTGTGACCCATTTGTGTCGATTTCTAGGTGCCAAAGATTAATAGAGATTTAGCTCCTTTAAGTCTCATTAAAACTGAGGCGATATAGCAATTGTAATTGAAATGTCCTACATTTAAGGTGAAATTGTTTATTAGGGTGGTTAGTTTAGGTTAAGGTATACGGGCGGAGAGTTCACTCTTCTTATTCATCCGACCCAAAATCATAAATATTGAGCAAAACTTGGCTTTTTGTCGATTCTTGACCAAAAAGTCAATGACAATTGGCATATAAAACCGAAGAAAGGGAAGACAGTTTTATAACAAGTTTACATAGTAACGTTCACCTCTGATGTGGTATGACGTTGTTGATTAATAACATACCACCATAAGGTACTGGACAAAGTACTACATCCTTTTCCATATCAGTACCTGGACAAAAATACATAGGAGTTTAAGACCAATCGAATCAAAATTACTTTTACTAAAATTTATTCAAAATTAAATTCAAACTTCCGTTATAGTCATTTGAAGTATATACTGGTTTATATTAATTTTTATCCGCCATCTTTCTGTGTCTCCGATAAATAAAGTAATGATATCCCGCACCCCATTTCGTACAGCAAGCTGATTATTCGTGAAGATTTTAAAAGTAGTACAAACTGGATCGTTTATGAAGATCGGAAAGGATTATACGAATATTATTACTTTGTTTAATTGAGACACATAATTAGAATGGTGGTTAAAATCAATAGAAATCATTGTAAACTTTAAATGGTCACAAATAATGTTCGAAATTAATGTTTAAATAATTTCTCTGGACCAAAATGATGTTTTGATACATTCTGGTGTATTTAATAACATAATTATAATATTTTGGTTCAAAACGTAATCAACAGTTAACATAACTAGTTACTATTGGTGTCAGTCATGAATTGTCAGATACCCTCTCACAGTCTCACATAAAAACTTTTGGTCTTCAAAGGAATTATTAGCCAGCAGAAATTCGCCCGTGTATCTGTTATCACTCGTCACTTCAGTCAGTTATATAGAAGGATAACTCGTGTTTTCCTTTTGTGTTCGTCACTTCCTTTAGTAAAAACATTCACTACGCACATATTCGTAGCATTGATCTCTGTGTTAAAATTATATTTGGCACGTGTTTAACGAGTGATAATGACTGACACCAATATTGTCCTTTAAACCGCCATATTTATGTAAACCCAATGCAGCTCATTCATTATGAACACTCACCAAGGGTTTTAGTCATTTCTTCCTCGTCAAGCATAATATAAGTTGTGTCTCTCCAGCAACATTGGTGTAAAGCTATTTTACCCTTTCTATGAGCTCCAGAAACAACCTATTAAAATAAATCTTTGTATAAAAAACATAAAGTTGTTAGTAATATCATGACTACTGAATACATGAACCGAACCAGAAAATCACCGACTATCAACCTGATTCTTGTTTTATAAGTACAACAGAAGTATTATAATGTCAGAGTGATGGCCCCTAAAGTGCTAACAAGATTTTGTAGCAGGGGTGGAGTTGGGGGATAACGATAAGGTAATTACCGAAACTTGTTTTTTTTTCTTTCATTGATTCAGAAAACCCATATTATCCATTTGAATTATAAAATGAAAGTATTAAACGTTAATACTTACCCTCATGCACCCATTCCTTTCGTTAGCATCTAATAGAGGAATCCAGGCTGTCGGCTGTAGTATTTTATAGGCTCGATTATCAAGATAGGCGGCATCTGTATTAAAAAAATAACTAAAACCCAATAAATCAGGTTACAAGTTTTGAAGGTTTTTTTTTTTATCTAATACTACGGTGGCCTATTGCCATTGTGGTGAAAACCTTTTCTCTGCGTTGTAGATCTTTTCTCCGCCGCGGTGTAGACCTTTTCTCCGCAGTGTAGACCTTTTCTCCGCAGTGTAAACCTTTTCTCTGCGGTGTAGACCTTTTCTGCGGATAATATTGAGTTAAAGCTTTACGCCCTTTAATTAGTGTAGTTGTTCTCACCTTGATGCCAAGGAACAGTCGTAGCTTCATTATTTGGGGTTTTTGTTCTGAGGTTCCATATTGGATTTCCAGATATTTCCGGTCCAATCAACTGTTCTACGACATTTAGTAACCGTTCATTAGTCCATAAATCTCTAAACGCCTAGAAAAAGATTCCAAATGTTGGCATTCATACACAATTCTAATTTATTTACTTAAAGGAGCTAAATCGCTAACATTTGGGACCTAGAAATTGACAAAAGTGGGTCGCAACGCATATAATACTGTAATATCAATGTATATAAACTGATTTACATTCAATGGTTTCCGTTTTTACTCAAATTTCAAATCAGTTATGTTCGGCGAAATAAGCCAGCAGTCTCAAGCGAGTGCAAATTTCTAGCGTCTGGTTATTCCAGTCTACATACGCCGTTTGATTTGGTACAATGTGTCTAGCCTCGTCCCTCGAGTCTCCTGATACAACTGGGGCTGAAGCGCATTATGGTACACGATTCGTGTACCAATGGTAAAATGTTTATTTTATCTTAAATATTGGATATCAAAAGCCCATCTTTTCCCGGTAAGATCACAACATGGATGTTGATTTAATTTGACAAATAATTCGTGTTTTCAATGTTGAAGATTTTGGATGATATTGAGTTAGAGACTTAGCTACTTTAAAGGAGATGATTTAGCTGTGTTATATTCTGATAAAAGATGGATAGATAATGGGAGTTACTCGAATCAACTATTATGAGTTGTCCGCGTTCAGTGAGGGGCAAAATCGGCTTATGTGAATACAAACTTCATAAAGATATTATTTAACATTCCTGTAGTATATGACATAAACACAAAAAGAAACGAACTTTTTTTTATCCGACTTTGTTCATTTGAATTTGCAGTGAAGACAAATGGACAATATGGTCATTGGAAATATTTGAGTATATAGCTTTTCATTCTAATAGGTTTTTTTTTTATTTAGAGTTTTAAAATTTCAATGCATACAGTCAATATGTATAGTCGTCAAAAATTAAAATTAAAAGGTTATCTCGGACCTGGGCTAAATTTACAGATTTATGAAGAATTATGTTTGCTCCCGGGAACTCGTTCTCTATGTGGATAAGTCGGTCACGTAATCCATATTCATTATACAGTTCTGTAAAATAATACAAAGAAATGAAATGAAATGAAATAGGGTTTAACTGGGCTAATGAAGACAGGCATACGCCATACAGTGTGCTATGAGGGAAATTTTGCCTGGACAGCGGCACTACGGCTTACTCTTATAACGAATTCCAACTGTCACGGGATCTTTTACGTGCACGCCAATGTGTACACGGGGCCTCGGTTTTTCGTCCCATCCGAATGACTAGACAGCTGTCCTTGTCAGGCCTTCACTCCTGTATCACTGACAAGGGGGAACCACGCCGGAAAATCAGGATGAACTTTCTTGCCCAATGCAGGGATCGAACACCTGACCTCCAGGCTAGCTAGCGAGCGTCCTATACACTTAGCTACCGTGACCCCCCAAATAATACAAAGAATAACCATTCAAACTACAAACCAATATAAAATAAGAAATATTCAACTAGGAAAAAATATTATATCCTATCCTATACAGATCTAATTTATTGACCTTCTAATTTCTAACTTATTTCAGATTTTCAAATGTTTTCACTGTCCCTTCATTGACTACTTATTTCAGAATTTAAATCATCAAGAATTTAATCACATTTGAACATGGCAATATTAAAATATCGTCTACGTACGCTTAGCATGAAAATTATATCCAAGTAGTGGCAATGCCACGTAGTCATTTATACTATGGTAACTTACGCTTGATTTTGCCGCCTTTAAACAGCTTGTTGGCCAATTTGTCTACTTCAAGTTCTATGGCCTTTTTACAGGGTTCCAAGTCTTTTTCACAGTCGAAAAACTTTTCAACAATTACATAACCCTTTCAAAAGAAATACATGGATACATCATCTTAAAGTGTCATTGCTCGCGAGAATGAACAGGAAGTAACAAATATGAAAAACATATGCAACTGCAAATTTAATTGTAAACTTTTAATTTTCCAGAAAATGAGTCAGACGGTCATCTTAATGAACACGATGTTAATGGCCTGTGGTTTTGAGAAACGGATCAAAATAATGGTCTTGATAGTCCTGATAGTTGCCCATTAAAGTGACCATAAAAAGCTTAGGGAAATAAATAGTCAGATATTTGGGATTAGAAAAAATGATAGGGCTAAAATACATCGTTAAAAACATTGACCAACACAGCGATTGCAAGAAAATAAATGTTGTTTATCATGTTTGTGACTCACATGCAGATAAAACTTGTCGAGATTAAGTTTTGATCAAACATAATATCTTGTCCAATTGTATTATAAATAGTATGTTGAAATAGAACACATCTATCACGTGTGTTGTTTTAAATTGTATTTTTCTGCACGATATTGTTTTAAGATAAAATAAAACTGCATAGCGGTGTTTACTATATATATTACATGTTAGTCCCAAAATGTTAGTCCCAAAATGACCTAGTTTGTGCCTAGTGGATGTTAAACCATCTCTCTCTCTCTCTCTCTCTCTCTCTCTCTCACACACACACACCTCGGTGGAAGCGGACGTAAAATACAACTAACTAACAACATAACAACATCTCTCTCTCTCTCTGGAGATATATACACCTGAGCAACATTTACAAAATGTTTTTGTGTTCTTTATTTTCTGTTCGTAATATTTTTTTTTCAAAAACAATCCAATAAATTATTCAAAATAAAGTCAAAAACTCAGAAAGAGAAAATATACGGGCAACATGGGGTTACCTTGTAAATTGTACTTACATCATTGAAAAATTGATCTATCATATGTTGAGGTAACTGTCCGGGTTTTTTCTCGGTTGGTTGTGGTGGTTTAGTTGTAAATATTTCTGGATATGCTTCATCAACTTCACCTGGGAATCGTTTTGGTTTATCTGACGGTGCCATGCTTTATTAGCTATATTATACAACAAACCGGACAGATTAGCCTTAGTAGTATAGTAGTATATAGTCTGGTATTGTTTGATGGTTTGTGGGAATTTCGGCAACAGAAATCTATAATTTGGATCACTAAATGGAGTCCAAAAGGTAAAAATAACAAAGAGCAAATGCCTCCTTGACCAAATGATAATTTTGAGGTCTTCGTAAAACAGAGAGACATTTATATGAAAATACCAGTATTTAGTTGTGTTAATAAGCAACGATAAAAAGATACCGTGGCAACAAAAAAATGTTTAATGCTTTCTATATAACTACTTGTACTCCCTGAAGATATAAATCGTTAAAAGTTTTTATGTAAAACGTTGGAGGGATTGTGGAATACCCTGCACAAGTTGAATCCCTAAATGGATATCAATTAAAAATGGAACAATTCCGTTCAGTATTTAAAAAGGTGTTCTGAATATAAAATATACAAAGATGGGTGTTTAACTCAAGTCCCAGTGTTTAATTATTAGTAACGTACGTTATAAATCTTAAGAAAGGTTAATTACGGTTAAGTTTGGGATGGGGTATTCCTGATTCCCTTTTCCAAGCATTTAACGCTTCCAGGATAAGAGAGATGAATAAACACAGCCAAATATTATATAGAACTCTTCTCACAATCGCCATTAAAACAGACAGCGACAATTACAATGTTCTGACCGGAAGGGTCACAAATTCCTAAACCACATTGCTGGCAGAGTGGCAGTGGCGTATACGGGCATATATTTGAAGATCCCGATTACTATTTTTGCGATACTACTTACATTCAGACGCACGAATGGAAACTCTGGATAAACTTCAAAATATAAACTGCGCTTTGTTTGCCTCCACAGCCCTCAGCCTTGAAATAAACACTGTGGTTCTTACACAGTCTTGCAACTTTATCAATATGCCGAACAGATTTTAATTCTTATTATGGAGGTCAAATTCTATCTGTGGCTTGTGGGGCGGATATGGAGAGAGGCCAACTTTACCCCCTGAAGTCTACCAATCATGTTATTTGCTTGTTCCATAGAATCCAATAAAATAGATTATATATTATCCGTAATTAAGTATATACATATACACCCATTTTCTCATTTGTAATATCAATATGTACGTGTAATTTTGATGGAGAGTGGAGGATATTTATGTTAACTATCTATACTAATATCATTTTTTATGTTTAGATGATAAAGTGTATGTTCTAGATTTCGTCGTCAAGGACATGGCGCGCTTTCAAGATATGTTAGCTTCATTTGCATAGATACACCTACGACCCACTTCTACTGAAACATTTGAATACACAATACAGATTGAACATACGTTTATTTTTCCAAAAGAAAATTTATCAACTTAGAATTTGCTCTATACTAATTTGGATCAAATGCTACATAAAATTGTTCTTAGAATCAAACACGAATACCATGACAGAGCCGCAATGAAACGTACCCGAGACATAATTCAGAACTAATAGGCCATAAATTTCGCAGACACGGCTATGTGGTCAAAATTTGGAGATCCCCACCATTAATTGCTCGTATGCCCCTTACATTCAGATGCAAAGAAAAATCCAAAAGCTGTAATATAATAATTGTAAACTTATCAGTTGTCTTTTGTGTGGTTTCAACAAAACATAGTCGTGCGACAAACACACTTATCTTTCAATAATTCCAACAATTTATTCAGTTATCAAAAACATTTAAATCTTCAGCATTATATACCATACAATCATCGTATATCGTCGACTCTCTGAACTGCTTTAGGAGATCTGGGGGAATTAGATGATTACCCATGGTTTAACTATCGGGCAACACATCATATGGTGACCCATGGCTTCTATAACTTTCTTAATTGGTTTGATGATAGAGCATGGTATCCATTGGGTAGAATTGTTGGAGGAACGGTAATTTATTCCAATTTATATTCTGATTTAGATTGAAAAACATCAGCAAAATTGCCAATTAATTTGTTTTCAAGGCAAATATTACTCATTCATTGTTATATATGTCCACATTGTTGTGTAGATAGATTTTATCTGCTTTTGATGAAACTTAAAATAGACGTTTTTATAACCCAATAATACATTCTACAGTAGATATGGCTTGACATCAGTTGCTCTTATTTTTTGAAAAAAATTTCACAAGTTGTTTTCCTTTATTTTGTTAATGTAGAATGGTAATGAACTGCTCTTTTCATTTTCTTTGTTTTATTTGTTTCGTTTGAATTTGATTTATCTGTTTAGTTTTTGATTGTTTAATTTTTGTTAATGAAGCTGATTCTTTTAAACTTCGTTTTTTATTTTTGAACTCTACTTGGTGTAGGTGTTCATCAGGTAATACCTCGACTGAGTTCAATATAGAGATTAGCCGGTTGATTTGTTGGATATAAACCTTTGAATAATAGCGCCTAACAGGCAGCTGTGTTTAATTATGTTCTCCTGATTTTGATTGTTTCTGTGTGTTTGAAGTATATGTTTGTGATATGCGCTTAGAAACACTTCACGTGTAATGAAGCGCTATATAAATCGAACAATAATAATAATAATTATACGCTGTACAGGCCTTTACCATACCACAACAACAGCAATACCAAACGCTATAAACACTTAATAATTTCTACCTATTCAAATATAAAAATGTCTCAATATCATCCATTTTTTATATCCCATATGTTTGTTATTTGCTCTTATGTGTATATGTATATATATACTGTATATATTAATACTTTGTACATGTATCAAAATTCAGATATTTACTTAATACAAATATTGTTTATAAAAATATTGTTGAATTGAAATTTTTGGTATGACTATGTTGACCATTTACTGACAAAAGAAATTTAATAACAACTAGAGGATATTACAAGTGAACAGTAAACTAGGCACAATGTACAGTAAAGCTAGGCACAATGCCTAAAAGTCAGTAACGGACCGCTGTAAGGAGGTACCGGTTATACCAATGTCAAGTCCCCGTCGATCTAGGAGTCGATAAACTGATAAATCTAGAAGCTCTAGGAGGGATGTTTCCCAATTTATTAGGGGCGTTTATGTACTATGTTTAGATAGACTTTGTTAATTCAGATGTTCAATTGGTAGATAGGTAAAAACCGTTTCCAGTGATGGCATTTTGGTCAAAGGTTCAACTGGTTACAACTGGGAAGAGAACATCAATATGCGCCAGAAGTAAGTAAGTGGGCAAGGAATCGAGTTCAAAAGACTTTGACTCTGCGTTATTAGTGATCTTAATGATTTCATTCTCTCAGAGTTTATTATAAGTTATTTAAAAATATTGGCAGTGATATGTATGAAATGTTTATCCCAAGGATATTTGGTCTGAAATATCAAGACAGGTTCGAAAGGTTCTGAATTCTTCCAGATAGTGATTGTTGAATTATAAATAAATATTATTTTAGATAAAACTGTTTCTTAGAGCAGAATTGCCATCGGTATTTGGAAATACATGAACGAATAACCGGGCATAGCCTTTCCAGAACTTGAAGATATCCTCTGAGAACCATTTTTAGTCTTTTCTGATTTAAAGAACTTATTGGCCTTTTCGATCTTTTTAAAACAAGGATTGTTCTGTAAATCTTTACTTGTCTCCTATTCGTGTTAGATCATCCTATTCGAATCAGTAGTATATCACGATCCAACTAAAGGTACTTGATTTCTGCCTTTCGTCTTCTACTCCTAGCTCCACTCCCATCATTGTTCGTTTTGAAACACGTACTGGTAGCTGAATCGCGTAATTTAATTAAAACCACAAAGTTGAGGTCATGATGTGATAATACTGTTGACTTGATTCAACATACATTCAAATAAATGGAAAATAAATCCCACAATTTAAACATGCAAAATTATCATGAATACTGGAGGATAATTCTTATTCATGCGAAGACACAAGCTTCTATCGTTTACATTAAGAAAATTCGGAGAAAATATCCGCCAAAGTTTAAACGTAATCACTGGACCTCCTGGAAGCATGTTATTCAATTTGCAAACGTTTGAAAACAAGAGGGGATGTACACGAAGTTGGTTCATAAATAAGAAAGACAGACATTATGTAATGAATGTACCCAATATAGTACGGACCCGTATTTTATTTTTAAAACTTCCTGGGGGTGGGATGAGGACATCACAATTAACCCGATACTAATATTAATATCAGGTTATTTACAGACTGTATAGTAGGTTCATTCTCTATTATTGGCATCATGTTTCTCATTGTTTATCACGACAAATCATGTACGAACTCGTCTACATGTAGATTTACTGCTAAACTAATGTTCTTATCTTGGTTTTAGATCGATGGACGAACATAAAATATAGCTAAAAATCTAAAATAAATATATGCAAGATGTAATTATTTTCACGGAGAGGTTCCCATCTCCAAGTTCGCCTTTACTAGAGATGAATAAGTTATATTAATGTGATTTGTTATAGACCATTCCCTCCTTCAAACCATCTGTATGTTGATTGGTATGAACTATTTCCCATTTTCTCATCCATGGACCTTGTATAGTAATATCAAAATCTTCATCAACCTCTTCCTTCTACAAATATATAATATATGACGTATAGTATATGAATGGCATTGCAGTATGTGGGGCCCGCATGCCATGTGTGTGTTTTCGCGTTATTTTCCTGGCGTCTAGTATGCACATGTGTGCCAACCGGATGTTTATGTCCAACTTGGGGTTTGATGTAATTCAAAAAGGCGCTGATTGAACGAAAGCAATGTCGGCCTCGATGCTGTCAAAAGAAGTCCTCACCTATGACATCATTTGTGGGATGCCCAAACTTTTTAGCGGGCCTAAGTGTGATATTTCAAGGAATGTGGCTTATAGGCAAATAGCACAATTTTTCACAACTTAGAAGGCGAGTCGAATCCCACTACATACATTTATTACATACGGCCAAAGTCTCGAAAAGTATCTTCATATTATTTTGCTTGTCGAAACGTTGTGCAAACATAATAAATCAGCGGCATAACGAGAGGCTAGGGAACATGTGAATTAACTGCCTGAGAAATCACCCAAGCAATATAAAAATATTTAAATCCCGGTACCTGTTCATCTTCCATGTCTTTAGCAGCAACTCCGTGTCGGTTTACGCCATCATACTGACTCCAGTCTATTTTTAAATTTGGTTTAGCGGGAGATCTAAATTCAACACACTCCTGAAGATCATAAAAGGATGCTGGGAGACCCGTTTTCTGCCAGCGTAAATCTAAACTCCAGCGAATTTCATCTGATAAGTTTGGTAAGCTATTGATTTAAAAAGAATATATAACATAAAATGATTATTTTTTAGTAATAAAATACCAAGTAATTTGTTTTATTTTACGGAATTTTTAGCTACATAGGTGTGGGGATTGGGGGGGGGGGGGGGTGAGGGTAGCCTTTGGGAGGTATTATTTTTACAAAAATATGCTTATTCCTTTTCTCAAATAGTACTAAAGACCCGTAATTTTTACTTCACATCATCGATATTGCATTCACCGCTACTTACTGTACTATAAAATTGTCTTGAAAGCGCCTCTAGATTGTCATTATAATGCTGGTTTTGATACTGGCTGAAGTTGTCTATCTTCTCGTCACATAGGAGGTAACTCTTGCCCTCGAAAAATATGTGGATTAAGACTAGTAATTTTCTTCCAGCTGACTTCAATTCAAGACATTTTTTTAACATTCAGGTTATCTTCATTCAGGTAATCGTCCCTATTTTTTTACGCCAGGTCAAAGAAAAATATAAGTTATGTGACGTTATTTGCGTAGGAAATTTTCCTAATATATAAGTCGATTTACCTATTGATACCTTTCCAAAGGTTCAATAACCACCTGCAGTCGTATCACCTTAAACTCGCGGGTCGAATTTAAGTTTAAGATCTTTCTGTGCACTCTTCTGTGTTAAAAAGTAGAACTGACTTATGTCCTCTTTCCTGTGGCTCGTTTTCTTGACAACTGAATGTCAGACAAACAATGAATATATATTACCTGTCACGCTCCGATATTTCTGACTGAATTGTCTCAAGGTTGACACTCCTAAGAAATGTCCGTTCAATGATTGCGTATAGTTTGAGATGATTTAGCAACGGCTTATTGAATTAATTATATATCTTTTATTTTTGTAAAAGTTAAGTATCTCGAGCATTTACCTTAATTTCGACCTTTACTTTTGAACTGAACACCGTGTTAATTAAGTGTTCCGGCGCGATTCCCCTTTGCCAGACTGACTGTGTAGGACGGAGGTCCTGGCAAAGTACAACGTATAGTCATTAAGATAGTACGAAAAACTGAGGTCCGTGTACATACTGGCGTGCACATAAAAGAACCCTCGACGGGGCGGGTGTTCTAATCTATTCACTATCTATTTCATCCGATAGTCTAGGAAGTTCATTTTTAGCTTTCACGTGAAGAATGTCTAGATGATAAGCTATATAACATTTGATACCAGAACAATACTTGCAATAGGCAGAGTTAGCTCTTATATAATGCATCTTTAAAGATGATGCATTTTATGGTAATGCTGTACATAAAATTTAGGTAAGTTAAAGATTCATTATGTATTAAAGATTTAGATAAAGAGCTCGCCGTTTTGCTATAAGAGTTCAAAATAGCTCATGAAAAATGAATATTGAAAATTGCATTCAAATTACTTTATTCTGAGCGAAGTGTTGGAAGCTGTAGCGTAGATTGTTTATTATCGTAGCAACGGTACTGGACAAACGATACTAAGTCTCAATTATCCATTTTATCGTTAAATTTTTAAATCTCGTGGGCGTTTTAATCCATTTAAATGTCCGCCATCCGATGTTCTAAAGAGTTAATTCTGGTCTTTTCATGTTAATAAATGTCTAAATAATAGTTTATAGTACATTTGAAGCAAAAATAAAGACCTTCAAAAGGCCGACTTAGCTCTTACAAATTGCATCTTTAACCAGATACGGGCCCAAAGCGCAATCGAGAATTCTTATATCTATTTATCTCCTTATCTTTTCGATGCTAATCATAAATATTGAGTTAAACATAAACAGAAAATTGAAATCAATTTACTCTAGCATCAATTGACATGCAAAACCGTAGATAAATAGGACAAATCTTCCAGCAAGTCTCGTAATACAACCATGATTTACCTATGATGTGGAATGGCGTTATTAATTAATAACATACCACCATAAGGTACTGGACAAGGTACTACATCCTTTTCCATATCAACACCTGGACAAAAATACAAATTTTAAAAAGTGAAGTTAAGTATTATATCCTGAAAAAAAAATTACCATGTAAAATTATATTTAAAAACCTTTGGTCCAAGAATTATTTAAATGTTCATTTCTAATTTAAAATCATTTAAACTTTACTGGTTTCTATTGATTTTTAACCGCCATCTTTCCGTATCTAGGATACATGTAATGATATTCAGCTACCCTTTTCGTACTGCCAGCTGATTCTTCATAAAGATAACCGAATGACGTATCTTATGGATTTTAACCACCATCTTTATGTGTAAACATTCTTGTTCGTACAATCCAGTCCATCCATCATGGAGATATTGTATTCAGTCTCGGATGTAACAACATGCGAACAGTCTATCATACTATGGAACACTCACCAAGAGTTTTGGTCATTTCTTCCTCGTCAACCATAATATAAGTTGTTCCGCCCCAGCAACATTGGTGTAAAGCTACTTTACCCGTTGTATGGCCTCCAGAAACAACCTATTAAACATATATATTTATATATAAAAATTAAATTTATCATTTCTTCTTGTTTGGCATAACACAAGCCATGTTTAAACACTACAGACCCAAAACACTCTATCAAAAGTATCTAAGTCGACAATCTTTGTTGAATGTATTTATTTTCAGAAGTCCAATATCTTGTGGAGCTCTTGTGGTGAAAAGTTCCACACAAATGCCCCCAAATCTTGCCATAATATCTTTTTCATCATACTTGCTGGGATTGATAGCTAGTTGGATCTAGGTTTCCTATCTCATCTCAACGAGTAGATACACTATCTTTGTCGACTGTTACCATGGATGTGTTAGGGCTTTATACTTACCCTCATGCAGCCATTCTTCTCGGTAGCATCTATAAGAGGAATCCAAGCTGTCGGCTGTAGTATTTGATAAGCTCGATTATCAAGGTAGGCAGAATCTGTATTTAAAAAATTACCAATACTAAAGGTTGGTGGAAAGGCTTTGATCGGTAATCTTAAACATACATTATGCAAGAGCTAAATCTGCCTATTGCATGTCTTTCTTTAGGCCTAAAATGTTATCTAAATTATTAATTAGACATTAATTAACATATCCATACCATAATCAACGCTCGATCTCGATGGCATCGCTACCCTGCGATGTTTATTGGATTACGTTCCGATTTGCTGTTCGACTTCCATTCATAATTAAATCCAAAAATGGATAATCGAGACTATGTTTTTATCCTACCGACTTTAGTAATGATGATCGAGGATAGCCCCAATATTCAATCGCTAAAATCTCGGTTCATAGAGGATTAATTTGACTGAAATTTGCAGCAAATTGCCTTTACATTATCTAGTTTTTCACTATTATAGTGAGAATTGCCAGCTCTTCAACTAATCTCCCATAATGTATCTTTAATCCTGATGTTTCCAAATATTATGAATAAGATGTAAAGATTTACTAGTATAATGAAGAATTAGAGAACCTTTTGAAATTTGCTTAAATTATGGACTAAAAAGTTCAAACTTTGTGTTTCTAAGATTTTTCGGTATATTGAAGAATAAAAGAACCTTGAAAAATTCGTTTGATGTGTGATTTGCATTTTTCGGAAAATATCAACTTTCTCATGGCTTAATCTACGCTAGATAATCTCCTGGCCCGGATTCAATCGGATTTATAACATACCCATTAATTTGGTTCACGGCAAATAAAGATGGCGATCGTACTGATACATACTGAGCAGCATAGATCAATGTTATTTTGGATTGATATATCTATTCGAGATTCCACTTTCATAATATTGTAGTTTGGAACGGGTTCTTGCTAAAATCAGCATAGTGTTGCTTTAAGGTAGTTAGTCTTTTAAATGATATAGCTTTTCTCACCTTGATGCCAAGGAACATTTGTAGCTTCATTATTTGGTGTTTTTGTTCTGAGGTTCCAGACTGGATTGCCAGATATTTCCGGTCCAATAAACTGCTCTACAACATTTAGTAACCTTTCATTAGTCCATAAATCTCTATAAGCCTAGAAAAAGATCAGAGTTTGGAAAATAGTGCGTTGTCATTTTTAAAACGAAATATATAATTAGAGCTGAATCCACCTATTGCGGATCTTTTTATGGCTTCAAATGTCAGACATTTATTCACATGACAAGCCCATAATCAACAACTCTCGAGATCATCCGATGGCCGAGGTATTTTTAAATTAGTCAATATAACCTGAAATCAAAAGATGGACTCCAACCTGTGCCAATGTCGCCGATTTATGAAGAATTATATTAGCTCCAGGAAACTCGTTCTCTATGTGGATAAGTCGGTCACGTAATCCATATTCATTATACAGTTCTGTAAAATAATACGAATAAGTATTCAAACAATATTTAAGAAATGTTTAAATGATGACGCTGAAGAAAACACTAGCTATACCAGGTATACCAGGATGGAAACAATACCACACAGTTATTTACCAGGGTATACCAAGATGGTGACAATACCACACAGTTATTTACCAGGGTATACCAAGATGGTGACAATACCACACAGTTATTTACCAGGGTATACCAAGATGGTGACAATACCACACGGTTATTTACCAGGGTATACCAAGATGGTGACAATACCACACGGTTATTTACCAGGGTATACCAAGATGGTGACAATACCACACAGTTATTTACCAGGGTATACCAAGATGGTGACAATACCACACGGTTATTTACCAGGGTATACCAAGATGGTGACAATACCACACGGTTATTTACCAGGGTATACCAAGATGGTGACAATACCACACGGTTATATACCAGGGTATACCAAGATGGTGAGAATACCACATGGTGGTTTACCAGGGTATAGCAAGATGGTGACAATACCACACAGCCATTTACCAGGACGGTGACAATACCACATTTTTATATGCTATGATAACTTACGCTTGATTTTGCCGCCTTTAAAGAGCTTGTTGGCCAATTTGTCGACATCCTGTTCTATGGCCTTTTTACAGGGTTCCAAATCTTTTTCACAGTCGAAAAACTTTTCTACAATTACATAACCCTAGCAATATAAAATACATAGATATATAGTGCACAGATCATCTAAAGGTTGCACTGTTCGATTTGGAAGCTTAGTGACATTTCCTTCGCGATTTCAAGCCCACCTTGCGAATTCGACAAAGACGATTATAATTATACAGACGTTAGCTCATATTGATAAATAGTCGCAAGAATACATTAGATTTATAAAGGAATAAGTGTGAACAACACGCAATTGCAAATTTTAATATAAACTTTTACTTTTCTTTAGAAAACGAGTAAGACACGGATTATGTTTGACACGGATGCAAATTGTTTAAAAAATATATTTGGGAGAAGTATGTTCAAATGCCTCCGAAGTTTCGGATAAATTGACTAAAAAACTTTCTTATGGCCAATGGCCATTAAAATGACTACAAAATAGTCAAAAGAAAATTTTCGGACTAGAATAACAGATGCCGAACTTCTGGATTTTGAGTCCAGTTTAGTATGAAATATACCGCATATAGTGATTTGAAAACAACGTGAACATATCGTGTACTGTATTTTTGTGTATATTATTCTTTCCGTAAAAATTATTTCAAATAACAGTCCAATAAATTGCTCAAAATAAAATCCAAATATTAAAATATTCCCTATAAATAGGCACGTCTATAATCCGATTAATATTTGTGTATAATAAAAGGATACACCGGGCGGAAGGGGGGGGGGGGGCTTTGTAAAATGTACTTACGTCATTAAAAAATTGATCTATCATATGTTGAGATAGCTGTCCGGGTTTTTTCTCGGTTGGTTGTGGTGGTTTAGTTGATATGCTTCATCAACTTCACCGGGAAATCTTTTTGGGTTGTCTGTCGGGGGCATGATTGTCTGTCCTAATTATCAACTATAAAATAAATCAGATGAACATTAGTCTACTTGGGGCATGTTAGATGACATGCTATCTGAATTTGAATCCCTTAATAAAACGGGGGGGGGGGGGTGGATGGCTGAATGGTTAGCGTGCGCGCGCTGTATCATAAAGTCTGTCATTGAGTCGACTGGCGTGGTTTCGAATCCCCGGTTGTGCGTGGCAAGGAGTAGGGTCGCCTGTCCAACCTCGTGGGTTTTCTCCGTGGCCTCCGGTTTCCTCCCACTGCTAAAGACCCCTACGCGCAAGCGAATTATGTAAATAAAATTAAACCATATGTTAGTCCCGAAATGACCTAGTTTGTGTCGAGTGGACGTTAAACCCCATTTCTCTCTCTCTCTCTCTTAATAAAACGTCCTATAAATATCTCTATAGTCTTCTTTTGTGTAGGTTTTGTTGGGTTACATTCTGTAGAATTCTACCGAATACTTATGATTCCAAGTCTTCTACTGATTTTAAAATAACATTCCAATAGGAAAATATAATAGTATTCTGTTAGAATTTCTACATTTATATACAAGATGGATGACTATACAGTTTGTGGATCACAACATTTTTCTATCGGAATGAGGACCATAATATTCCATAGATTTTTTTAATAATTTTCAGTCGGGAAATAAAATAGTGTTCCCTTGATTTTTTTTAAATTGATAACTGATTTTTAGATTAGAAAAACATTTCAGAAATATTAAAACCCTTAAATTTTAGATATCGTGAAATAAGAGATCGTAATAAAATTGATAAACTGACAGTGATGTTGATAGACAGATAGCAGCCTATGCTATTGTATATTATTGTTATATGTGTGTTATTATATAGTATAGATTAAAGTATATCCAATGAATCAAAAGCAATACATCGGGGGGGGGGGGGGGGCACTGGGGACAATACATTTCAGATATAGTAGATTTCTTAAACCCTTCAAGTCCTTAAAATCGTGCCTTATTGTAAGGTCAGACAGACTATGGCTAGCTTTGCGTATTTGGATCATGTTTGGGGTTAATATAATATATAATGAATAATCTAACTTAACAATAATCATTTCCTTTTTTAAATATTTTAATGCTGATTAGTAGATGGGGTAGGAATTTGTGGGTAATAAAATTTATAGTAGAAATAGGGTGAAGTCGAAATGGGAGTGTACATGTATCCAAATACATGTATTGTGCTGCACCTAACGTTCGTATAGATAGTAGATTAAAATCTACAAAACATTTTATGGAAAATAATTTTAGGATTATCTAAATTCTAAATCAACTGAACAGGTCTGATTTAATTAAGACTTTCGTGCGACCAATTCGCTAACACGATATAAATTCCATGGTCAAGAAAACGAAGTACATTTTCCCTATAAACTATCATGTTTTAGCTTACATGGTCAATAGCTTGTTCTAGATTTTTAATGTATTACGATAAAGTTATCGCACTTTACTGTAAGGTCAAACAGACCATGGCTAGCTTTGCGTATTTGGACCATATAGATTGGGGTTAATTGTAATAAACTGCTTAAAACAAACATATCAATTACCTCTGTGCTGATGTGGAGTGTCTCTGTAGATCTAATCAGATATGGGCCTAATTCAGTGTTCTGGAAATGAGCTTTGGGGTGGCATCCTGGTCTGGTGACGTCAAATTTCAAATTCATTACCAGTACAATGTTTAAGTTAAAGATCAAAACCAGGGCATATTATTGACTGTCGATGCTGATTATAATTCATCCAAGTCGAGGGGGGGGGGGGGGTCTCCGCCTTGAAAGACGGGTGGGCTTAATATATAATTATTTTTTTTTAGACATTAAAGGTAGCTTTGTCTCTTGTAACCCTGCATGGCCTGATCACATGTTTTAACATGGCGATGGTTTGTATCCGTGGACAATATCAAAACATCATTTGAACACGCCAGCATGTGGGACTCTTCATGTACCTGAAGCAACGATCGCGATTTTTACATCTACCTTGATAATTAAGGAGTTAAAAGCATCATTCGGTTCGGGCTAGAGACTACGAACTGTCAGCCAACAAGTATAATTCATTATGTTGTGTTAAATTGTATTATGTTATGACTTTAAAGTATATAAAATTTTACTATCTAGACATTATAAGTAGTTCCCAAGGACAAATCACCCGTTCTTTGAACAGTCCGACGAGATAGCTAACGTGTGGACTGAATGAGGTTTAAACAGAATTTAAGCCTTAAAAGTACATATCATAGACTTTGTACTCTGTAATCGGTTATGTATTTGTGATGAATTAGAAATATTCATATAAAAATAGGCCAGGTGTATACTGGGCCAACTAAAAGACGGGAAACGTCCGGCTATAAACATTAGTCACTTGTTGTGGCAGAATAAAATGTCCAATCTCAAATGGGTGCACATCACGACCCAGTGACAAGGTTATAGTTGCACGTTAGACGGAATGTCAGTAGAATGGATAATTAAATTAGATTATTCATTATATATTATATTAACCCCAAACATGGCCCAATTACTAGCGTCGACTTTTTGTTTGCATTCATTAAATATTCGCCTTCTTATTTTGCATTAAAATAATAATGGTCATCATTTAATATCTGTAATTGTTCCGACACACCAGCATCTATTAATCTTTAGCTTGTATTTTCATTCATTGATTCGTTCATTCATTCGTTTATTCATTCATTCATCCAAATCTACTATGATTATCGAATCGTGGTGTGCTTTTGAAATCCAACATTGTCTGACCTGCTGTCATTTAGACTACAAGTAAATTTCTGACTGTCAGTTATTGTAAACACTGTTCAATTATAATTATTAATCAGTTACTATTTATTAGTCAAATAGTTATATCCTTGAGACTTAACTCATTCAATCGATTCACTCAAAGGTAAGGGAAATTATCTGCTATTGTTTAGCAGACAGCGTTTCTCCGTACCAAAATTGTGGATATTTGTTATTGTCATTGAATAAATTGATTGTTGTGCACTAGGCCTATAGGAAAAAATGAATAATGGTTTATCTTTTACTGTTAAACAGACTGTCACTGATTGAAACCAGTATTTGTAATGGAACATCCATGCTCCCAGCAAAAACTGTGTCTGTAGGCTAGAAAGAAACGTTTGCATCGATCGTGATATTATTAGCCTATATAATTTTCAAGATTCACATCGCAATGTAGGCTATGAATCGTTATGCATATCGTATCACAAGTTCGGCCTCTAAAACTAAAACTCCAATTTTAAGTATAACTTAAAATCGGAAAACGAGTCCGTTAACAATACTCACCTGTAACGGTATATTGTCCACCACCACCTGTTCAAGCACGGCACACAATTATTTGTCAATGTACCGTACGTTGGCAATATAGACAAAATCACGTGACTTCATAACCCACGATTATCCAGTAGCTCTAAACGCCACAAAACATTTATGACCGTCATACTTTTCACGTCAAAGTGTCCCCCACCCCCACCCCCTCGCTTACGCAAATTGCGTATACATTTACCAGTGTGGTAGACCATAGCCTATATCAATATGTGAAGTATTGGGGTCGTGAAAAAACGAACACTATCGATTTTCAGCGTCCAGCGACCTTTCGTTCCAGATCTGCGCCATGTGCAATAGTGACCAAAATTTTTAACAGACCTTTTCCAAATTTGGTTCGAAGCATTGGGTTCATAAGAGGACGAACTCTATCGGTATTCCGTTCTGGAGCTAACCCCACCGCTTTGTCGAAAACCTTCTGATCGCGATAGAGGCTACAGTTTTTAACGGATTTACATGTATTCCAAATTTGGCGTGGAGCAATTGGGATCAGCGTTCCGAAACGCAGCAGTTTTTAACAGATTTCGATTCGATGCCTTGGGACAATGGAAGATGGGTCTTATTTAGTTACCCTGTTCTCTGTCCATCTATTTCAAAATGTGGACGTATCATGCATGAAAACCGCTTGTCATATTTTGAAGACTTGAATAGATTGCACCTTTTAGTGGATATTCAAAGCACACTTGTCTTCAATACCATTTGCATCCTATTTCTGAATATCTGTACATTACAGGTCTTTCTGAATGTATTATCAAACCATACAGCACTACTATGGAAGTACTTTAATTAGGTTACGGGCTGCAAACATTCTTCAATTTCTAATTGGGTGCAACGGCTACTCACAACCGAATAACAGTTTTCCCAAAACCTCATTTCTCGTTTCTTTAAACTTATGTCCAGCTTTTAAAAGTGTGTCTGCGCACACTATGAATAGTTTTGAAAATTGGAAAAACTAAAATGTAATAGCACATTTCACGTTTCACATTAATTCAAGATTAGTTGATATCCAAATTATTCTGCTTTAGTCACTATTTTCACGTTCTAAAAATTCAGTTACTTCCCTTGATACCCGTCTAATATCGACCTGTTACCGCCACCGTCATTTCAAAGTATTTAATATTTAAGTTAGTTTGTTTCTGAAATAATTATCTAGTTTAAAAATAAATTACGCTGATCAATTTCAAATGCATTAAAGAAGTACTATGCAAAATCTCAATATTGATATACACACTACAACGATAGTGGGCAGAAACGAAAAATGTAGGCTACACAGTCAAAAAATAAAACAGGTGATAAAATGAATATTCTCTAGCTCTAGTTATACCTCAAGGAAGAAAATGCAAGAGGAAGGGGTACATTTTCCAACAACGAATTTGGCCATTAAAAACGTGAATGAAATAAAGCAAAGTGGTCTGAACCCAGTTCGAAACCAGGAGTTGCTCCCCTTGTATAAAGATTTCATCTGGGCTGGTAATTCTCTTCCCAATGGCCGTTCCATTTTTCTCTATAGATGCCTAATCAAAGGTATCTATCGGCAGTGACGACATTATTTATTTTTTCCGGTGATTTCCCTATTCCTGCCTATGTTCTACCCCCCCCCCCCCCCGCGCCCAGTAATACTGAATACGGGAATTGTATAACGGGTTGGGTTATCCACCCAGAAAATATGGGTGAACAATGATGGCGTGCCTTACAAGAACAAAATTGTTAGGCGGGAAGATCGCACGGTTGGAATTTCACGATGTACACCTTGACCCGAGCCCTGCTAGATCTTCAGACCTTAGGCCCCAGCCTGGGGAGCCAATGGGTAAATCTGGCACTGAATGTAGGCAATGTTAGTGATGGAGAGATTCTATAGTCTCTCATTAACAAAATAAATTACATATGTTCTTGCTAAAAGATGCAGTGTCTCTTTATAATTTTACGACGACTTTGAGTCTACGGCCAAAACAGATTATCCATTTCCGCAAATACATAATTTGATGACATTTATAGTGTACGCTATATAGGTAGGCTATCTTAAAAGGAACGAATTATATCAATCCCAATCCCCTCGTTAGAAGTGACAATAGGCCTGTTATAATCCGTATAGTTTCCGGTGTTGGCCGGAAAAGTTCATCGGAATTTTCCGGCGAGGTTTCCCCTAGTGGTGCAGGACGGAGAGCTTGACAAAGACAGCTGTCTAGTCGTTCGGATGGGACGAAAAACCGAGGTCCCGTTTACACATTGACTTGCACGGTAAAGATCCCTTAGCAGTTGGAATTCGATATAAGAGTATAGGCCGTAGCGCCACTGTCCGGGCAAAATTTCCCGCATAGCACACTGTATGGCATATGTTCGTCTTCATTACCCCGGTCGGAGCAGAACAGTAGGACGTTAAACCCATTTCATTTATTTCATTTATTTCAAATCATTTTCAATCTTTGCATTGTGTAAAAACATATGAATATTTACAAATTTCTCCAAAAGACGTTTAAAGACACCACATCTTAAATTATTTGGAAACCATTAAAAACGACATACAAATGTGTTATTTGAGAGTATTTTATGTACCCGGACTTTAACTGATAAAATTTCTAAAGTAAGAGACATATTGAACAATTTAGTATGATTAAAGCCAGATTAATGACGTAAAAAAAAAACTAATTTTTATAAACATATTGCCACTTTAAATAAAACTCTTATAAAAGCGTCCACGCCATTTTTTCATTATTAGCCTAGAATTTGATAGCATCCGATAAAATCCTGTAAAGATCTGTCGCGGCTTTAATAAGATGCCCAGGAGAATGTAAATAACCTGTCACTTTTATTACTATAAAATATTTGAGCTAGTCGGTCATCTTATATTCAGCGATGAACAGCGGAGTGTTTAAGTTTCTGGTTGAGTAAAGATATTGTATTATTATACGGAGATTTAATATATGAATGTAGGTTTATCTTTACCTGTTACAGCCATAGTGTCAATTTCACTTTATTATATTATGGTAATACTATATCGTGGGAACATCTCAACGGGTACTAAGATGATAAATCAAAATAATAAAATCCTAAACGAAATTTATATTTCTTGTCAAAAAGTGTCGCTGCCCTTGCAAATTTCTACTATTATTTAAAGACATGTGCCTATTTTTGACACAAGCATCGAAAGTCAATTATCATTTGATACTCGAATTGGCTATATGCTACTTTCTTGGGGTGTAATTTTACCAAGCTCACTTAATTAATAACATCATTGTACATTTTCGGAATTTAACTTGTTTATAATTGGGGTTTATATATTTTCGTTGGAGTTGACTACAGCGTGATAACGCATGGCATAGTCCGCAATATACGACAAGTTAGTTTTCGAATTCCAGGTAATTGACTATTTGGATGATCAACGGAGGGCCGTGACCCATAAAAATTGCCACCAAAAAAGGTTAGGCATTCGGAATATTTAGCGCAGTGCCGTGACAAAAAGCAATTATGTATGTTAGCGATATAGCCGACACAGCCAAAATTCATTCTGTACAACCAACCTACACTAAATACAAAGTACTAAAAAAAGGTGCCAAAAAGAAAGAACAATATATATACGTTTGTTTTATTTCATAGCATTTGTATACAGGTTTTCTAGATAAACATTAGCATACTTTATCTAACAATAACAATAATATAACCCACTTATAGCAATTGTTACCCATTGTATTAAATAACCTATTTACATAGTACATACTTACTATATCTCTATCTAACCTACACATCTACCAACACTAGTAGTTAATATTACCCAAGTTTCTCAACCAGGTGGTTTATAAATCAAAATTTGGTTCCTGCTTCTAAACTCAAAATTAGATAATCTTTATCTATTAAATATTTTATTCGCATTAATTTTCGAGCAAACATATTCAAACTTCTTTAAGCATGTAGCCACAGACAAAGTTAAACCTCTCATGGTTCTATTTCAGACATGTCGAGTTTTATGGATACTGGGGAATTTTTATTATGATCGATAGGCAGAAAATATAAATAGTGTTTTGATGCATACATGTAATTCGATACATAGGATCATGAACATAACCGCGACCTCCCAGTCTAGTTTGACTCGGAGTGAAGTGAATTAAAGGCCGGATGCGTCATGTTGGCGCTAAAGAATCAGTTGCAAACAACAATATAAAGAGGAATATCAGTCCAAAATGGTTCAATGCCGTTCAGTATTTACAAAGACCGTGGAAATAAATTTCATCGATTGCCGCCCGCTATGCAATTATCCCTCCGCTGTTTTATTGTCATCGAGAATTTATTGATAGGCCGTTTTTAAATACGATTAAAGCGGGACATTATCTAGCGTGGTATTTTGATTTTGGTTTCTTAATTCGATGTTAATTTAAATAACCAATCCGAGTCATTCCGAGTACAGATTTATAGCGTGGATTAAGCCGTGAGAAATTGGATATTTTATAGCGAAAGATGCCAATGGCGCATCTGGACTTTAATATTTTTTTGCGCATTCCTTATGGGTAATCACATGATATTTTTATTTACAAAGGATAATGTTAAAAAGTACAGATGACATAGAAAGAAAGCTTAACGGTGTTGGGCGAATCATTGTTATCAAAGATGTGATGTGGTCGTTGGAGAAAGGGTTTACTATTGTTAAGGGACTAGGACAAATGGGTTCATATTTCTAAAAGGTCTTCTGATGTTTATCTGTGGAATGGAGTTTTTTCAGTATAAAACATTGGTGATCATATGTGTGTGTGAGAGAGAGAGAGAGAGAGAGAGAGAGGGAGAGAAAAATGCGGTTTAGTCCACTCGACACAAACTAGGTTATTTCAATAATTCGCTTGCCCGTAGGGGTCTTTAGCAGTGGGAGGAAACCGAAGGACCCGGAGAAAACCCACGAGGTTGGACAGGCAACCCTACTCCTTGTCACGTACAACCAGGGAATCGAAACCACGCCAGTTGACTCAATGACAGACCTTATGATACAGCGCGCACGTGCTAACCATTCGGCCACCCAACCCCCCTGGTGATCACATGTAGCCGCTGAAAAGGGGATTATTGGC